TAATCTCTTTTGATTTCTAAGCGCCTTTAATAAGATATCTTAATGGATTTTATCACAGAATTACTAATATTAGAAGGCTATAATGCTATTTTAATAGTTATTAATTAGCTAAGTAAGGAACGCTATTATATTCTTTATATAACTACAGAGAAAGGTATAACTTTAGAAAAGACAACTAAGATATTATATAAGAATATATAAAAGCTTTATAGGCTTCCTTAAATAATTATATTTAATTAAGGGCTATAGTTTGCTAGCAAAGTATAAAAATAATAATATTAAATCTTAGGAATTAAAGTAAAGTTATTTATAGCTTATTATTTATAAATAGATAACTAAATAAAAGTCTCTAATACAGAGATAAAATAATACCTAAAGGCCTATATAAATTTTATACAAAATAATTAAAATAATTTTCTTTTAAGCGCTAAATTTGCTATAAATATAGTAGTATCTGAGTCTATATAACTATTACTATTTATAATTATATATAAATATTAGCTAAGAATAAGCTTTAATAAGCCTGAGTCTACAGAGACAGTAAGGAAACATGTAGCTTTAAAGAAGGCTAAGAATCTAGCAAAGCTAATAAAAAAGGGTTAGAAATAGGTATAAGAGTATCTAAAGGCTATATAGTTGCAGAAATAAGAGCAGGCGAATAAGCATTGCTAGGAAATTGATTTTGAAGAAGGAGATAAGGTCTAGTTATTAATAAAGAACATTAGTATAACAAGACCTTATAAGAAACTTGATTCAAAATAAATTAGGCTATTCCCTGTTATAAAGAAGCTTAGGTAGAGTTTTCGTTTAGAACTGCCCTTATTAATAAGGATTTACAACGTGTTCCATGTATTACTGCTGACTAAGGACCCTGCCGACCCTCTACTAGGGCAGGAGTACCCACAGCCTCTATTAGTAGAGACAGAAGAAGAGGAGGCATAAGAGGTCAAAGATATAGTTGACGTCAAGAGAGTAAGCAAAGCATGAAAGGTACAAGCAAGATGGGTAGGCTGGCTAGAGGACCTGACCTATTACCTTATCTCAAACTTCAAGGGCTCTGAAGACCTACTTAGGGACTATTTCGAAAGGCACCTAGCGAAAGAGGTGCCTAATTAGTTAATTTAAGGCGGAGTACAGAAAATCTAATAGGGATGTCACATGACAGATTTAGCTATATATGTATAGTCAAATATCAGACTAACTAAATAGGGAATTGCTGGGCTTGGCAACGTTAGGATGAAAGTAGACTTGCTTTCTTGTGCTCTTGATTAAGGGCAATCGATTTTTTTTAGAGGGGGGGGTAGTGTGATAGATGATGCATTTCCTTTGCCATGGCACAGGAAATGCATGTGCCAGCCACATACTCAGGAGGTAACGCCTATGACTAACTCGCGGCAGCAAGCAAACTCCTGCTATAGGGCGCTTGTCAAAGCGTGTGAGCTATCCGGACGGATTACGAATAGAGAGGTTCGCCTTACCCGATTAGGGAAGCCTAAACTTCACTATATAGCAGGAGGCCGGATTAGGAACTATGAATGCTCTGTGGCCTATGGCGTGGCCCACGCACACACAGGCCTTACCCGCTGGCGTTGGAGTATATGAATCTGTGCATGGCCACATTGTAGATAGATTCTCCAGCTTTCGTTTTAGCAATCTATGGACTATTGACTTGTTCTAGTTTTGAGCCATTGCATATATATTATAGAAAACAGAACTATCAAATATAGTAGCTCTTATTTTTCTTCCTTATTAATATTGCTTATACTAACGCTTATTTATTATAGAAATAAAGTAATAATATACAGAATTATAATAGTTATAAGATCTTTATAAGCGCCGTATATAACTAATTACTATATTTAAATAATTTAAAGAAGAAAGAGCAAAAAGAAAAGAAGAAAAAATAATTCTATTCTTAATTTATAATAGTATTTTAGCGTTACTATAAACCTATACAACTCAAATAATATAGCTAATACAAATAAGGAAAGCGTTATTCATCAGGCTGTTTACGTAAACAGTTAAATAAACGCAAATTTAGAACTGATATTACAGAATTAACTACTAACAGCGCCAACAAGGATATTTTAGGAGGCTTCTTCACTCATCAAAGATGCAGTAAATGCCAGGATAAGAACAAAAATGGAGGATTTTACTGCGAATTCAGCTGTTCAGCGAATTCTTAATGAAGTTGACGTTTTTGGACCCCTCATACTGATCGACAGCGCTAATAGGCACAAACTACACCCCTGTTCAGGGACGGAGGGGATAACTACAAAATGGCTTTCCCATCGCAGGCGTTAATACCCATAACCAAGCACAAGCACTCTTGCGACAAATGTGGCAACTGAATCTGCCACAATTCGCGCTCTTGAGAGCCACAATTGCAGGATCTAGACTCATGATCGAGTTCATTCTGTTTTGGTGTTTCTCGCCAATGCAGCTTATTTCCCAATATTGCTTACTACGGTAGGGGGCAGAAGTATTCATAGCTTGGTGCTAGTAACAGCTAGTTCTGATACCGCGCCACATTGATGTCTAGAAGCTTTTTGGACCAGGTCTCATAGTTGTTGGCCGCAGCAATACCATTTAACCTCTTAAAACTTAGCTGATTCGTTTGTAGTACGTTTCCTAACAGAAATACTAGTGCCAAACTATGGATACTTCTGCCCGGTACCATAATAGGTTAATGAAATTAGTGTTCTGAGATGCGCTTTTGATTGGTCACTACAAAACTGAAGTTTTAGTTGTCAGCATACTAAGTACGGGGTTGCCGAAAGGGTCTCTTAGCGTCAAGATGAAGCTATATATTATTCCTAATCAGGTATAGTATGCAGGGTTCATGCGGAGCATTTCAGGAATAAATTGGCCAATCAACATACTTAGCTATCCCTTGCAGCTGTTAGTGTGCCTGCTATTCCGTCATGATTTGCTGCAAGTGAGTCAAGCATTGCACTAAACTGAATGAGAAAGAGACGCACTTTTTGACGGCTCGAGTATTATCTACGGTACCAGGTAGAAGTAGTCATAGCTTGACGCTAGTAGAAACCAGTTTTCTTTTATAGCGTCACCATCCCAACTCCACAATCTGAGAGCTTATTTTGTCTTTGGCTATATATCCTCTCTGTGTCACTGAATGGGCGACTCTCAATGGCATTATCGCAACTTTAAATGATTTAAAGTGTGTTTTAGCTGATAATTTTTCTGCAATCTTGGCAAGAAGAACACCAAGGAATCTACTCTTTCTTCTTCCTTCTTCTGTAGAAGCTTAATCATCTGAATTTGAGATCTTATAAATAGTATCAATAGATAGCTATCAAAATTTGATTATTCTTACATGTTGGAATCAGTAAAAATACTCTCTGAAAGTTGAGGAATTCTACAGAGTACAATTTGTACGGATACTAGTATTTTCAGCGAGGGGCTTTAGTCAAGGCTTTTAGTGCATGGTGCTGACTAAAGCACCACGTCTTCGCTTAGGCGGCAATTCTGGGCTCCGGCCGCAAGATGCGGCGCTCCTTTGGGCATACTAAACGCCTGCTGCGACAATGGCCTCAGGCTTTTCTGGCTAGGAAGTCAATGCGAGTCTTGTTGTTGACACAACAGGCAGAATTTGCAAAGACATGGTAAGTAACGTTACCTAGCCCCTTTGATGAATTATCCTGACGGGTTGATACCTCTCTAGGAATTCCTGGATCTTGTTTGGCCACCGCCCCTTGTAACCAGCCGCCCCTGCCATGTTGAGTTAGTCCTACCTCTATCAGCCAATCTCAGAATTATCCATCTGATGGATATCGCAGCATTGTTTTCGTCCACGGGCTTAATCCGCTAGGGTCAACCCGCCACGCATACAATACTTGGACCCATGCAGATGGGACATGTTGGCCAAAGACGCTCCTTCCGCGAGCTATATCTGGGGCCCGCATTTTGATATTCGGGTACAACTCAAGCGTCGCGTTCAATGCTTCTACAGGCACGATCCGCACACATGCCGTGTCGCTAGTAGATAGGTTGCAAAGCGTTCGACAACACAGAGTTAGTGAACGTCCAGGTACAGGTCTCGCCTTGCTTACATCCAGTGTAGTATGAAGCCAACAGACCCATTGTTTTTGTCTGTCATTCGTTGGGTGGTATTGTAGTCAAACAGGTAAGCAATCTTATGGAAAGAGATTTCATCTCATAAAGCTCTTCGAGCACGAGATATAGGCTTTGGTTCATGCGATACTTCGGAATGATCGTTATGGGTCTATACGCGAATCCACCATTGGCTTGATGTTTTTCGGAACACCTCACGGCGGGGGAAACAAGGTCGCAACTGCTACCTGTGTTGCGAACATCACTAGCCTTTTCACGGGAGAACCACGGAACAGTCTTTTGTCTACTCTCAAACGCAGCTCATTGTACAGCGAAGCGACAAGTGATGATTTCAACCCGCAATTGGGTAGTTACGAGGTTGTTAGCTTTTTTGAAACCCGAAAGACGTACATTAAGATCAGGAAATAGAGATTTGCCCCTCAATTTGCAAGCATGGTCGGTTACCACGTTAATTTGTTTATCAGACATCTCACCGACCCCTAATAGATCGTTGTTGACAGGCAAGCTGCAAAGCTTGGAAGTCCCAACGAATATGTTCTCGGCATAGATTGCAGCCACAGCGATATGTGCAGATTTTCAGGCGACCCTACGCAGAGTGGTAGATTCGAACCCGTACAATATCATCTTGGCCGGTTATCAGAGAAAGCGAGGCACCAACATGCTCCAGGAGACCTCCTGGTTGAACCTCGTCCTTCTTTGCAGCCACCATTAGATGCACAGCAGCAGGACATTGCGGAACAAGGGCGAGTCGACGGGCAAGAGCGAGCTCCAGCGGGAGATGGTCTGTAGCTAGTCCTTTTTCAAAGGAGGAAGAACTAAGTCAATTAAAAGGAGATCAACCTATCCGGAAGCTACATTTTATGGCCCCTGATAGAAATCCACATTTTGTCGGTCACAATAATGTCATGGCTTCACTTCGCGACTACTTCTCTATATCTACGAATGGCACAAGAGCAGCACTTTACGGGATAGGTGGTGTCGGGTACACTTCTACCTATTCGCTCCTTTTCCATTCGCTGACCTTGGCAGGAAGACACAATGCGCTGTGAATTATTGCCACTCGGTGAAAGGTGATGTTCATGTGCTGTGGGTTCTTGCCCACCGTGTCTCTGCTCTGAAGGCATCTTTCAACAAGATTGCTGACACACTAGGGCTGCTGAAGTCCATAGACCCCGTAAAATCCGTCCATGAATGGTTGCAGGGGTGTCGCAACTCGCTTGTTGTCTTCGACAATGTTGATAACATTAACATAGTTCAACCATACTTACCCCGCGAAGAGTCTCATCCGTTTGGTAAATCTCAAGCTGTTCTTCTTACAACCCGAGACTCGGCGATAGTGGAATCTGAGACGGTTCCTTTTGGTACTGAGGTCAACCTCTTTGATACGAAAGATGCCATTCGTTTGTTTATGTTAAACCTGAATTCCTGGACACCAACGCAGCATGATCAGATAAGAACAAAAATGGAGGATTTTACTGCGAATTCAGCTGTTCAGCGAATTCTTAATGAAAAATTCGGATTCACAAACATCACTCAGTTGGAAAAGATCGCTGAGCTTACTGGAAGGTTGCCACTAGCCATAGTGCAGTGCGCTTCATACCTACGTCAGTACCCGACGAGCTATCCAGATTATATACGCAAATTCCAAGCCAGTACTCACAAATCTCGACAGAGGTTTCTATCCCATAGTCCAAAGGGTGCACAGTACAGCGAAAGCATTATGACTACCTGGGAGATCAGCTTTGAGCACATTGTCCAGGATCTTCCTGGTGCAGGAGAGCTTCTGACCATGTTTGGGTTTCTTGATCGCATTGGAATCTCAATGGACTTGACAGAGTCTGCGTTGACTGGATTGAGATTTTGGCAGGAGAAGTGCGTCATTACCCCGGCTGCAGACCTGCGAGCAAAGTTCCATTTTCTGGATTTCGTGGGCGATTATATCGACAACCTTGGACTGCTACAGTCTCTCTCCTTGATTAGCCAAGATCCCAAAAAGCGGCAGATATCAATGCATCCATTGGTACACGAATGGACTCACCTCAGACTGCAAGGTTCGCGTTGTGCTGAGTGGTTGATCGCAGTAATCAGAGTCCTTTACCATCGTCTGCCCCCACTCATCTACTCTGCAAACGATCGCAGTGTTCCCCATCAAGCTGAAATTGTCCTGTGCCACACCGAGCGCTGCAAGGAGCTGGTGGGACTTTACATTGAAGACATTCTGAATTGCTGCCCTGAAGTTGCCATGTTCTTCCTAGAGAGTTACCTCTGGTATCATGGTCAGGACCATCTAGACGTGGTAGAGAAACTCGTGGCCAGAGTACGAGAAGAAGACAGAAATTGGGTAATGAAGCTCTTGTGCGGAGCACGGTTACATCAAATTGTACAAGATTTTCAGGGAAGTATCAGCGGGATTTTGGACGAAGTTCAGTATCACCGATACTCCACTTCCCTCACCCTACTTTCCAAAGACAACAATACGGCTCCTGTGGGAACAAGGTTCGTCTTGACGGAGGCTACGGTGACTCATCGGCTAGGCGAGCTACTGGAAAGGGATATGCGGGTTCCACTACATGACATTGTACACCTCGATGTGCATACGCGGCGTGAACAAGGTACATCATCTGCCACCACGGAGGCCGTAACAATCTCAGCAGCACAGATTGCAGCCCGCCTAAAGCCCCAGGCCACCGCAGCAAACAAGACCGTGAAGTTGTTACGAAATCAACCAGGGACTTGATTGACGACATGTCTCTCCTTACTAATGATAGGACTGATAGTCCTGAATCTTTAGGCACATCAATCAATGCGGTTAGCTTAGCTATCATGGCCCTTTGTGGATCTAGGGATGCACGATTTCGTGGCGACAGAGCAAGATCGTACCAAATGTTGTATGAGTGTCGCGCAGGTGCTTACCTGGGGATGGAATATGGCCTTTCCGAGCTCATCACATATTTCAAGGAACTCTTCGAGATCATTTACTCCTTTCCTTATCCTTATGACGACTTACGTCAATTCTGGGCAGAAACGGTCAAGGCCATTTTAGATGATGGGGCGATCGACTTGTTGGCCAAAATGTGGGATCTGTCAACAGGGGGCTTTAACTACAAGATTAGTGAGTCAAAGCTCGCTCCGATAATTACCGAGATTTCCAGCCGCCATGAACTACTAGATTGCCTGCTACCATCGGCAGCTTTTGAAGATGGTGCAAAAGAAAAGTCGTGGCTGGAAGAGCAATTCGACGAATGTGCAAAAATCCACGGGTCTGCCAACGCCACAACCATTCGTTATGCTGAACGTCTTGGTTCGTTACTGGTAAGCAGCGACGATCCTATTGAAGCCAGCAAGCAACGTCTCTCCTGACGCGAGGATATGACGCTTGTAGCGGTGATCTGTTCTTCATGGGACTTTGGGCGGATGCTGCCTGTAGGGTTGGTGCCAGTGGCAGCGAAAGTCTCCTCTCACGCACAATTGACAAGCATCGCGCCGCTGTAATGTCATCGAAAGACTATGATCCATCTCGTTTCCTTACATGGGCGAATAAGCTTTATCTATCACTGCAACAAGCTGGAGATCACCAGCAACTCGTGAATCTTTGTCGCGACGTGCTGGACGTTGCACATTGTTCCTCATCTCGCTTCATATATGACTATTGGGCAGACAGGTTATTTAAGGCTTTACAAAAGGTCTCAGATATCCAAGGGCTTGTGAGTTTCTGCCGGGAAATGGAAGCCGAAACGTCCTCATCAGCATTCTCCAAAGACAACAAAATACGACAAAAGTGGTTGGAGAGATTGCCTGAAGCTTTATTAAAAGCCGGCGACCTTGATGGAGCTCTAATACTATATAGAAACTTGCTGGAAGAGCATATGCACCATTCCACCGACGAGTATTTGGTATTCGACGATTATGCTCGCAAGCTGTGTTCGGCTCTCGAACAAAAGCAAGACAATAAGGCCCTGCACAAGCTGTGCCAAGATGTATTGCAGCATCTATTTCACGTCATCGAGCAGCCAGACGCAGGGATCCAAAGCAGAAAATTACTTGCTGTGGTTAAGGTGTGGACCGAAAAGTCTAGAGCAGCTGTGAAACTTCTCGACGACGACGAACTTTTAGCACGGAATACAAGCTTTTGCGTGCAAGTCTTGGAGCTGTCTATCAGATGTTATAAAGAAAATTCCCATTGGGTCAGCCCACACCTTAATAACTGGATCGCACGATTCTTAGACGATCCTAACCACGATCCTAACCACGATCTTGAACAGAAGATGCAAAAACTATCTGAAGTCATGCGCATTCTTTGCTGACGCCATACGGCGATGTGCGCGCTTGGACTAAAAACCATTTAAGGCTGTATCGACCGGATCATGCAGAGTATGGAGAGGTCGAAAAACTACTTCAGCGACTAGGGTTCGAACTAGAGACACAAACCCGGGGCGGCATAGTGACGCAGCGACGGAGATTGGTAAGCCTCGCTCATGCTAGCAAGCTGAAATTCCTGAAATTGCCCTTGGGAATGATTGTCAGCGAAGAGTCAGAGATTGCATGAGTTTACTTGATCCTGGATAAAGCTTCCTGTCTGAATGTACTGGCTGATACTTTATCAGAGCTCATGGTAGAGAGATGTATGAGGGCGGCTTGTGGGTAGCTTGGGAGTCCGTTGCCCCCGTCTCAGCTGAAACGGCGTGTGGTTCAATCATCACCCTCTTCGCAAATCCCCTCCACTCTCCTGCTCAAGGCTGAAGAAGTGATGGGAAGATAGAGGCTTAGGTTGCAGGCCAGATCTTGAATGCCAAATCTTGTATGAAGCTGAACCCAGGGCGTCATCTGAATAATAGACGAGGCCGAAAGTGAAGTCAATACATTTTGAAAGCTACACCTTGAGAGAAAGCCAGACTTAGAATTGGAAGTCAAACTTGGAGTCAAAGCAAAACGTTGAATAAGAAGAGCATGGATTAAAAGTTAGACTTGATTGAAATCAGTCCTTGTGAGTGAAAGTCAGGCTTGAGATAGAAGTTAGACTTGGGGCCTCATCTAAGTAAGAGACGAGGATGGCAGAAGAGAGACTGTTGCACGGGTCCACGGCACAAAGTAAGAAAATGCAGAATAGAAGCCTTACTGTGGTAGGAACGATGGCACACACCCAAAGGCGGAAGGTGGTATTCGGATGGGTGGATAATATCATAAGAATGCCAGGAGGTGACAGTGGTGATGCACCTTCCTCAACAAGATGCTTTTTCCAGTGGTTGCAAACTTCTTCAGAGCCCACGATTTTTTTATCCTCCTTTCTCTTCTTCATACTCCTGACTCTCATTTCTCTCCTTTATCTTTCTCCGACTCCGTTTGTTCATCTACCTCAATATTTCTGTGCCACACAATCCACACAGCACTCTTCTCATCACCCATCTACCCTGTTCTACCAATCTGCTACCACTTACACCCTTATCATGCCTCTCTCTAACCTCCCAGCGTCAATCAACGCTGGAAATGGCTCTCGTCCGAAAAAGGCCAAGGATGGCAATACGTTCGTTGGTAAGGTCAAACATCTTTTTCGCTTTAAGCCAACACTGACTCTTCAAGCATTTCGTCGATTAATCCCCGGCCTTGCAGCTACAATCCGTTCCAAGCTGCAAAACAACTACGCAACGCGTGCATCATGCAAGAAAAATATCGTCTCTGAACTGAGCCCACTTGTGGACTGGTCATCTGTCATGCCCATGGCATGCCCTGACCAAGGCGCCTGCCAAGATGTATGTTAGTAGTAGTTAGTTAGTCGCCTCAGAGGCTAAGATAGAATAGAGACACTCCACTCATGCACTGACTTCAGTCGGATTGTCGCCTATTCGCATTTGGCATACAGGTGCACCACATCATCCGTCCCAGGAAGCAACCGAGACAGGACCAAAAGCTTCTACAAACGACCAGTGTTCTCCGCCTTATTCACACATTATGTTCCAGGTGGTAATGTCACTTTGAGTAAGGCTCTCATGGTTGGATGTTCTTTAAGCTTACGACGCTGGTACCTAGATCCTCATATGCTTACCCCTCCTGGGAACGAACAGACCCTATCTCTGCCTATGCTTCAGACGCCGTTAAACACCTTATCAACTGCATTTGGCCTGAACAATACGACTCCTCTAGACGTGATACAAACTTTGAATACCTTAGTTGCAACTTTGATCTTCTTCGTATCTACAACTGCAACTTTGGCACCTATATCTCTGAATCTAGCAACTGCTACAATTATTTATGCCCTAAAGGACTTGCATCCAGCTGGCCTTATACCTGTTTGAAGCCCAACTCTGAGCTTGTCAGCCCCAGGTTCATCCTATAAAGGTGAGAGGTGTTTATGTCTTACACATCACCCCCAGCTAACACAAAACGATCCGACATCCGCCTCCCAAAGTACATTACAAGCGGATTTGGAGCTGCTCGCAGACGCCATTAACGTTGATGATCTCTTGGAATCAGGCCATAATTCGATATCAGACGTATCTAACGCTCAATCCGGACAATGTCGACCACTGACTAGAGGTCCTTTGGAGCCAATCGACTCTACCACCGAAGCCAACCCAAGTCGATGGCTGGCCGGGGTCAGCCTGGAGTTAGTTGAATCCACTGTTCAAGGTGATTGAGGTCAATCAACTACCAGAGGTAGGCTGGCGCCACTCAACTCTACTACCAAAGCCGACAGATGTAGACAAGGTCGACGTCTACCTGGTGGCAGCCTGGAGTCGATCGACTCCACTGCCAAAGCCAAACGAGGTAGATCAGGACCCGATGGCGACTCAGAGCCAATCATGCCTATCGCCAAAGCCAAATGATGTCGACCAGCACCTCTTCTTTCAAGCGACTCCTCATCGGACTCAGAGTATGAACCTGTCAAGCACCGAAGATCAAGAACGGTAACATTACATCCTTGCATGATTGGCTTATATGACTTACCCGAACCAGGTGAAGAACAACATCGAGGTCGTTGATGCAAGCCAACAGTCATCTGCTGCCGACGATGTACCTCAAAATATCGACGACTTGCCTGAGATCCACCCGTGGCTTTTTCTCCCAAAACGCGTTCAGCCTGATACTCCTACGACCACAGATTGGAGGTTGTGGTGCAAGGATGGATGTGTTACATAGGTTCAGGGGCATATTTCGACGTATGGAATGCTACGGCTGGCTGGACTTGGCGGTAATGAGGCGCGCTCTTGCAAACGTATCGGTGTACGAAGGACCAGCATAATGGAAGTCATCGAGTCGGGGCCGTATCGCAACCGCGGCTTTGACGGTAAGTGAAATCTATTCTATCTAACATCCTCCCAGAGCTGGATGATCCACAGCCTACACCTAGGCGAACAGTGATGCTGTGGACTCGATAAGATCATATGGGCACAACATATCTGGATAGTAGGTCCTCTCTTTCCGACTTCTGTTTCATAGTAGCTTCATAATTTCTAATCTCTCAAAAGTCTCCAAGGATCATGACTTTAGACATTTCAGTGGTCGTACGTCGATACAACACTAGGCACGTTACCAGAACCATCCTCTCTTTGTAGGGGACATGTTTAGAGCTAACAGCTCCAATTTCAGGCGTACTTAACAGTGACATCTTCTTCAATTTCATATCTGACGGGGAGCTTCGGGCGTCTCGGTGAGGGAAGGAAGGTTCACAAGAGTCAGTCGTGAAAGCATGAGGCCCTGCAGAAGCGGAGGAATTTTGGATCGCCTTTAGACAAAAGGGACCGCAGCCTTTAAAAGACCTTAAAGTAGCTTGTTAAGTAGCTTGAGAATTTGTGATGCGTAGAGATCAAACGTTGTGGATCTGGCGGCCAAGGTACAATATGTAGAACAGGATCAGAAAGTGGGCAGTGGCTTTGACCCGGGGTACGAACCACAGAAAGTGTAGGTCCTGTAAAAGACACCTTTTTATTTTTCGACGGCTTCTGGCTTGTGTATCAAGTGGCTTACATAAGCACCATTCGATCATTAGACGCGGTTCCGGGCACACCCATTTCGGCATCGCAAGACTTCAGGATTCCGATCAATTAGCGCAGCAGGCCGGTGGTATAACATCGCAAGGAATATCTGAACATTTCGAGCACAATGAGTCTCAAGCTTTCCTAGAAGAAACCGGCCAGTAGAAGACCAAACTAGGACCGTATTTCTTGAAATTGCCGACAGTCAGCCCAACAATGCGGCATCTTCTTGATAGCAAGAACATACATAGTGAATTTTGGGAACGCTAATTTCAATAAGAACAGTTTTTCTTTTACCGAGCCTGGGGACAGGTTCAGATGTGGAGTTGACTACAGACAAAAACAGAAAATCATCTAACTATTAAAGGGTTGAGAGCGTAGATATAGGCACAAACTAGCAGGACGGGGTACAGCAATTGACCAATAAAAACGCAGGCAGAACGCAGGCACAAAATGCCCAAGGCAAAAAGCAGCAAAACCAACCAATCAAATCTCACCAAGCTCTTCTCTTAACGCCTCGTCTTCTTGCCAATCTGGCCATCCCAGTCGCTGGGTATGGAGCACTGCCCGTTACCATTCTCGTCGATCTGGCACCATTGCGACACCTCGCGGCATTTCTTGCATTCCAGTCTGTAGCCAGACCAACAGCCACTAAAGTCCTGTTGTCCACCTTTCCACTCCGGTCCCAGCTCTTTTTCGCAGCTATGCCCGTTTGACAGTGAGCAGAATGGACCCGCTCCGAGCCATTCAGTTTCGCAATATTCCCAACGCTTCCCTAGGTTTGATCCTTTTTGCACGGCACCGTCTTGAGCAGCCGGCTCGAGGGCAGATATTGATGGTTCGAGTGGTGCGGTCAAGGTGAGGAGAGGGAGGAGAGAAAGAAGAGCAAAAATGTTGATCTGCATCTTATCTGCGAGAGAAGATTGTTTGGAGGTGGGGGAAAGTTTGTTGGAAGCGTTGAGTTGATGGAACGTTAACTGTGAAAAGTGTTGTTTGATATAGTATTGAAGTAGGGCTTGTTGATGTGGAAACAAAACTCACTTAGAAACTTACCTGATGGATCTTTTATACTGTTTTACATTCAAAGTAGAGAATGACACGGGCGCGCCTTGCTGTAACACTGTTATCCAGGTATAGTATACTAGTCTTACTAAAACTTGTCACACAAGTTCGTAAGTTAGTGTCAACCTGCTGTGCAGAGTGCGTAGAGAAGCAAGTTGATTGATAGCTACGGGGGTAGAGAGCGTGGATCTATGTACAATTGGCTGTACCGTACAGCGAAATTAGAAGCGAAATTGCGTTGGAAATTGACCAATTAGAAGCAGCAGAAACGCAGGGATTACGCATATTAAACGCGGCCAATAGGCCCTCTCAGAAGGTCAACAGTTAGTTAACACATTAGGGAATAGACAGGTAGTGAACATAAAAGGCGGTAGCACCTGAGAGATGTAACCTGTTCTACCATGAGGCTGAGATGGCTAAACGAAAGACAGCATTTTTCGTGGCTGGGCAGTCACATTGATCGCGCTACCGCCTATTATGTAAACACTTGGCGGCCCTTCGGTCCTCTTATGCTCTGTGTCACTGAATGTAGTACCATTACGTAGCATGGTCTCCTCGTCTAGTGTTGCCGCGCTTTTAAGTTAGTCTGCTGGTACACAAGTCATTGGCTGCTTCCTCGTCCCACAATGGTCTGGACCCTTCTAAAAATGGCTCTGGGCGTCTAATCCGAAACTGTTGCATCTTCAGCCAGGTAAAGCTCATTATTATTCTTGAATGAGGAATAAGTGCCTGTATTCAGCTTGCGGAGCAGAAGACAAAAAGTAACCAGAGTCGTCGGGCCTTTCAATAAGTCGTTACAACTTCCTGAATGCCATGTTCCATCTGTTAGAGGATGTAGCAAATAGCGTACGGAGATACCAATTGAAATTTTATTTTGGTTACTCCTATCAAGAGGAGCATTTGCTCACACTAATAGCTATAGAAGCGCATTACTGCAACAGCTCAGAAACAGCATTTGGCGTTCAATTCGCATAGCAAGGCTCACTGCCATAAATAACAGGCCGTAAAAGTTACAAGAGCGTTTCATGCGTTTCGCATGCGGGGACCCCTGTACCATCCTGCTAATACGTAACAGATACGTATCGTATGCGCAGGGATTCTGACACCATCAGCCTTTTTTCTGTTGACTCGTTGCGGTTAAGCAAGCTTGCAATCATTAAATAGCTAATGAACAGCATCACGGCTCCAGGGCAAAGCCATCATGCTGTGGCAAGTAGGCGCTGGGGCGTCCTGAGTCGGATTGGGGACGGCTGAGGTAGCTATATCTAACTTAGGTTCAAAAGCACACGACCACACTGGCACTTTTTTGGTAAGGGAAGAACTCGTGGACCCGATGAACGAATTTTCCGACATTCTATTGCGGCCACTTCTCTTGCTTGTCACCGCCAGCGTTGCGGACCGTCATTATCATTATTACTATTACTCACACACGTGCCGCTCACATCCTAGCGTCCTGAACACTGCTCCGATCCAATACTTGGTAGCAGGATGCGGACCCAACACAACTAACGGTACAGGAGGGTTACAACCTGTTACGGCACGGCCTACCTATTTGGCCCAAAGAGGCATTAGGGCAGGGCATAACGTTGGCCAAGGATTTACCCGTACGTGTACGGCCAACTTGAAATCCTCCACAAGCACTATACCGCATTGCCAATTCTATGCCCTCCTTCTGCGCATTTCTGTGCCCTCTTTCTGCGCATTCTGCGTGTACATCTGTGTGCATTCTGATTTTTGATGGGGTGCGGCTTGGCAAGATTCTGCAGCCTTGGCAGGCTAAAGCACTGCTTATTTGTCAACTAATCTCAAGAAGGAAGGAAGAGGCCAACTTTATCCAATTAGAGCGCTGATCCTTCGGGCCGCATTTTTAAGCTTATTGTCGCAACAACAGATGAGAGATGATTTAATATCGTTGAAAAGATAGAGAGACTTTTGCGTAGTTGAGCAACGGTTACATGTATACCTCTTCTTAAGGTATCCAGTAGGCCGCTGCTGTACCCGTCTATCGAGATAAAAAATTTAGATGAAGATAGGCATACGATATTCACACCTGTCAACCTGCTGTGCAGAGTGCGTAGAGAAGCAAGTTGATTGATAGCTACGGGGGTAGAGAGCGTAGATCTATGTACAATTGGGTGCACCGTACAGCGAAATTAGAAGCGAAATTGCGTCGGAAATTGACCAATTAGAAGCAGCAGAAACGCAGGGATTACGCATATTAAACGCGGCCAATTAGCCCTCTCAGAAGGTCAACAACACCTAACAAGATCCCCCAAAGTTCACTACTAAGGGTTATCCATAATCCTTGTACTCTCTTCTCGAAATTCCGATCCTTGATAGTTTGAACTTCATTATATGAAGCTGCTGGCCAATTTTATTTTCGATACTCGCATAGGAACGACTGTATTGCGCCCACTAGTCGCAGATTTGGCGGTACACAAGACTCCAACCTTCCAGTCATCACCTTTAACGTACATCATTCAAGCGTAATTGAAATAGGATTGTCGCAGGACTGAAGTGCTTCGCCATCCATGATACCTTCCATATGAACCTCACCGACGAATTGGTACTTTCCACCCGGAAGCGGCCTAAGACATATGGGCGCAAATGCTGCATCCAGTATCCAGATCTCATCTTCCTCCTGCAATAAGCAGTGTGTGATTCCGAACAGATGAGTCTCAGTCCTGAATACCTTTGCATCAGAAAGAGTATGGAACCCATTGAAAAACTTAAGGAGCCAGGTTCCAGCTTCTTTAAAAGCTTGGGGTGCCGTGTTATACATAAGCCAAATCTGCGGCGAACGAGTAAAGGACTCAGGCAGATCTAAAGACAAGATCTGAGCCTTCCGCCGCAAGTCTTTTTGCACATTTCTGCCTCCTTGGAGAATGGCTGATGCAGTGTTGGTTACGTTCCCGCTGCAAGTGAGGCAGATTTCCTGCAACTCTCTAGCTTCTGGCAAGAACGGTGCATTTTGCGGTTCGTGAGCAATAATGTACGCCAGAGACGACTCGAAGATATGAGTGTATGCTTCCAAGATCCTGGAGGGAAAGGGGCTCCCAGAATCTCGCAGGGAGGACGTGGCGTCTGGTGAAGGTGAAGAATTCAGTTGAAGATGATAGAGAAGCATTGTTCGTAGTAAATGTGGTAGCAGTAAAGAAACTCCAGATGGTAGCGGTTTATCGCACCAATCTAACAACCCGACGAAACTCGGTCTGCCTAAGATTGTCCGCCACAGAAGCTCGACGCGAGTGAACTTTTGCCTGCCCTAATGTCAGCGATATTACATCCAGAGTAAAAATATCACACATATATAATGCCTCGGCACTTCCCCCAGTTTCAAGTCTTGTCAACAAAGAACAGACTGGGGCTGGTCCGGTTCTCAGCCATTCTTGCAACGGATCCGGATGCCTGTCGGCACGACGGAAAAAGAGGGGGACGATTTCTTTTACCATCCCAATACGCTGCCCAGTCACTCCTAGACTGTGGTCAGAGACCTGGCCGCTCTGCTTTGGTGAGTCTGACAATCGCCAAGGTCCGGATTGCTGTGCAAAGTCGTTGGTTGTGGCTTGCAGGTGTAGGAAGTCCGGACACCACGACGGTAGATTTGGGGTGCTACGTGCGTTTGACACTAAATTTAGCACAGCCAAATCGTTTCGAGCCCTGATGATGAACGAGGTCGCCTGCAAATAAATTTCGCCCACAGATTTAGTGTAGTCTGGTTCTAGCAAGATCTTGCTGTCCTTGCGAACTCGGAACAGATACCCAAAATGCTGTACAGGGCATCGCGAGGATCGGAGCACTTCTGCGCACGACTCATGTTCATTACTGACATGAAGTCTGGCAGTTGTCCTTTCGAAACTGTCTCCCTGATAGTCTGCATGTAAGTCAGAGTACATATGTTCTCACGAGCTTTCATGTCCACGTCAATTGGAAACAAATCGTCCATTCGCAATTCCAAGCCATTGATAATGAAATTTGCAACCTGCGATAAAGTCCTTGCACGCAGAAAAATATCAAAAGAAGCAACTCGGTGTCCGACGAGAACCCACACCTCTTTCGACAGCAGAACTTCTTGTATTATCCAAGAACGAGAGAACCAGTTCCGTGAAAACAATGCAGCGCATGCCTTTATTTCTGGAGGGTCAAGATTGACTGGGGGGATCCGTACTCGTCTTCCAACAGGAAGCCTGCCTTTAGGGTAAACCTTATTCAAATGATCGGCTAGCTTGCATATAGCAGCATACGCGTCTTGGCTAAATCCATCCTCTTCTCCAAGCCAGACAAGAGTTTTGTGTGCTAGGTTGTAGATCTTGCTCATAGCTTGCACCTGGTGCGATCTCTCAGGGAGACAGTCTTGGTTAATGCGCACTGCATCGATCCATATGTAGGATATATTAGCGAAAAGATATCGCGTGTTCCTTGCAACCTGGTCTTCAGTACCAGTCACGCTTATACAAACATCAAAATGGAGTCTGATTCGACGCAAAGCAGATCTCAGATTCCAGGTACCAAGAAGAATGGCACCATCGCAAATGATTGGATAGACACGCGCGATCTGAGTGAAAACAGTACGGCGGACTATTACGTGCTAGAGCCCAAATCAAATTTTTCGGAAATCGGAAAGCAGAAATCAGAAATCAGAATCCAGAATCCAGAACTCCGTACATCAGACCTCGCTGCCACCACCTTCCTATCGCTATCTACTTCTTCGTACGACAATTCTAATCTAGTCTCCGTTTTGAATTGCATCAAAGTCGTCATCATCTGCACCATCTCCTCCTAAATCCATTCTTTGTACAGCCCCTTCCCCCGAAGGCTGCCAGTCCAATGCTCCTGTAGGCTTTACTGACAATCCCAATTCTGGCTCATTTCCATTTGTGATGTGATTATTAAGAGCTGTATGAAGCTGTAGATAGATCGTACGATGTAGTGCAGTAGGTTCAGAGCTAGATTGTAAAAGATCAAATCCTAATTGTTGTAACTGATTTTGACACTATATATAAGTAATAAAGGGTAGATATTTATTCATATCTAATATATTAGTTTAAGATCTCTTTATATAAAAGATAAAATCACTCACCCTAATCTTGTATATCCTTCTGTAATGTCTTTAGTATTTAAGCATATATATAAATACTATAGTTCTTTATATCCTCTAATAGATGATAATAAAGAACGTATAACTTATCAGTAACAGCATTCGGATGATTAGGTTATTTTCGAATTCGATGTGCATTCTAAGTTCGTATGAAGCTCTGTATCTCGGTACAAAGAAGAGGAATATAAATAGCAAAAAGAATAATCTGATCAGCAAGAATATTTGATTTGAATAGTCCTTTATTTTATAATATACTAAAGTAGTTCTATATAAGAATTAATAAATATAAAGAATTTTTATATAAAGACATACCCTCTATTAAAAGAGAAGACCTTTTATTAACTAATTCCACTAAGATTTAATTTGTTAATTTGTTATACTAGTTCTATATAGATAATAATCTTGAAATTAAAGATCTAATTCTGTTATACATTATAATTAATGATATACAGAAGCTAACAAGATAGTCTTACTACTATAATTAGATCATACGAAGTATAGATACTGTCTAAGAAGCTTAACAGTATCCAGATATTAATAAAGTATACTGACTACTATATAAGCAGAGATGCTAATATAAATCTAAATAATATAATATAAGTAAGTATTAATAACTATATATATTTTAACTTTATACAAAGCAAGCTTAAGATAACTATTAAGAGACTAAATATAATTAGGTCTTAATATAATATATTCTCCTTAATGTCTTTATATATCTTGTGTACGCTGCTTAATAACATCAGGAACTAGTATATAATAGATAAGAAATAATTAATCTTAAGTAATATAAACTTTAAGTTGTTAAAAGTAAGCATACAAAAGTCTATAATCATATTCTTTAATAACTCCTTTTTATAATTTATTAGTTAACTTTTTAAAAGCTAATTTAATTAATTCTTCTTATTCTTTCTTTATACAAAGACGTCTTTTAAGTTTTATATCTCTTTATATTTATATAAGATTACTTAATCTAATTAAATATTCTTCTAATTTAAATATATAAAGAATTTAAGGATCTATTAATTTATAAAAGAATAGAGTAAAAATTTGATTTTAAAGATTAGAATTATTAATTATTAAAGTTTATATAATAATATTCTAGGCTTTTAAACGTTATTTTAGTATATTATTACTAATAGTAAGTTTATATATAATATATAAATATTTATATATATTTATAAATAATTTTTAATTTAAAAGAAAATAAAGAATCTCTTCTTTATATAAATTAAGATTAATAATTATATAAAGCATCTTGACTTAAATCAAAATAAAAAAGAAAAGTAAATATACAAAAATAATAAACATAAAAAAGTAATAAATATTTTTTTTTAAATAACTATTAAAATTTGATTTTTTTTTTATTAATATTTTGTATATAATTAATTAAAATAATAGAAAGAAGACCAGATTAGTCAGCTTTTTACAGATAAGATAAAAAAAGACATATTTTATATAAAGATCTTAAAGTATATTCTTCTTATAGAGCATTTAATCCTAAATTTGTATAAAAGGAAGAGTTCTTAAAGAAGGAGGAGATTATTATTATAAAAGATTCTCTTTATTTAAAAGCTAATAATCTTTAGTCTAAAGTTATTATAATTAGATAGTTATCTTTTATATAAAACTCTAAGAGATTTATAACTTATTAATAAAAATTAGCTTCTAAGTTTATATAACAGAATTTAATACAGAATATATAAAATAAAAGTTCTAATTAATTATAAATAAAACTTATAAAAAGTATTTATATAAATATATATATCTAGATTTAATAAAATTAGATTATTTCAGATAAAGATTTTAAGATAGAAAAACAAATTAATTTTTATTTATATAAGAAGTTTACAGTACTATTAAAGAATATAGTAATTAAGAGCTTATAAGACTTTATAGATAATTATCTTCTTTATTAATTTCTTTGCTAGAAAAATCTTCTTAAGAAAGAAGATAATTATATATATTTTGCAGTAACAGCTATTATATAAGAAGGTCTAACAAATCTCCTAATAAGTGCGAATAAGATTTGTACGATTAAGGAACTTATTAATTAGTACTTTCCTAACAAAGATTATATAATGTATATTATTCTTAATCAAAAAGACTCTTAAGTAACTACATACAAGGATGACAATGCTCTTCCCAATTTTTCTTTACTCTAGACAGTCAAGAAAGAGTCATACAACAAGTCAAAATCTTTCATCAAACAAGAACCACACATCAAACAAGAACGCAAACCCATCAAGCTGAAATTCAAATGACCTCCCTTAGATTCGTACGAAACCCTTACTTCTACTCAAGTCAAAGATCTTTCTTTTGTACAAGTTAAGAAAGACTCTTCTCTTTGTTTCTCTTACTCCCCTTTTTTATCTCTTAATTCGACGATATCTGTATCTATACAAACAGATAAACTAATATTTAGTAAGGAGTCATTATACAAAGGTCAGAATAAGACTGATAATGAGATTAAAGATAAGGATATTAGTGATAGCATTAAAGACACTCCCTTAGCATATTATACAAGAGGGAAAACTGCTAGTGCTGATAGCAAAGATAAAGGAAAAGCTTATATATAAGAAAGAAGAGGATAGGATAGCAAGAAGATATCTTATACAGTGTTAGCTTTAATAGTTTTAAATTTAGAATATGGATTCAACTCTCTTTTGTAAGATTAGCTTTATATAATAATAGTAGATCAAAATAGGATAATATATAAGATGCCTATTTATATAACCTATTATTAGTAAATTTTATATGTAAGTAAATTTTGTATCAAGACTTTAAGAGAATCCTTATATACAAAAGGTTAGCTTCATCTTACTTCTCTCTATAACTTTATTACTGTAATAGCAAGTATGTATAATATCTATCTTTTCCTGCTCTTTATACAAGTCTGACAATAATAATAATAGCAACAGTAACAGTAGTAACAACAACAATAATAATAATAATATTATATAAAGTTTTTTTTATTATCTCACTCTTATTTCACTAACTTTTCTCTTAGAATAACTACTACTACCACTATTACTACCACCTCCCCCCTTCTTACTATATAAGTGCATTATATCAAAAAGATTATATCGTATAAGGAAACTAATAACTTATATAGGGCTCTTATTTTATATAACGCTGTCGTTGCCACTGTTAACGCCGTTACTACTGCCCCCTAGGGCTAATTAGTACAGAATCCAGTTCTGCCTATTAGTGGTCAGGAACTAGCCCCCCTTGTATATAGTCCGCAGGGTCATAATGTGTTAGCCCTATCTGGGGGTCTTGTTACGTTTCGTATAAGATGTATCAGGCCTAAGCAGGTGCTTACACACCGGCCATCGTACATAAATGGCCTTCTTATACAATCTCGTGGCTTCGTACAGAATCCTCCCTGTACGAGGTGTCAAAGGGGACTTGGCGTGTTTCCGGAGTGTCGTCGCGTACTAGGACACTTCGGTGGCTGCTGTGGAATTACAAGTGGCCTGAGGCTGCTTCTCACTGTCAGTTCCCGACAGTAATTGATTTAGATTCGGGGGAGTCTGACGACGACCCTGATGACGATGAAGATGTGAAGCCTGCCGTACGACGGCAAGATCTCTCACGGGCTATCAAGGGGCCTGGGGTGGCGGCAGATCATCCTATTGTGATAGAATAGGGTACGTACGAAGCTTTCTTATTCTTCTTGCATGCATTCAGCGTTCAGCACCAGCACTGCCTAGTCGTACGGGATGTGTACGACACTCAGACGATGAGCTTGCACTTCTACGCAGTGTCTGAGACTAGTAGCCGCAAGGTGAAGCAAAGTGAGCTCGTACATAGCAATCAGATAGCATCTCGTACGAAATGTGTTATTATGGAGTTCTGGATTCTGAATTCTGATTTCTGAAAAATTTGATTTGGGCTCTAGCACGTAATAGTCCGCCGTAGGTGGAAGACGGTGTGTGTCAAAAGTGGTGCAAAATAGTCTGACCTCTCGCGGGCATGCAAGCGGCCACGTCTTTTGCTCATCTCTGTCCTGCTGCCCTTCACCTGGAGAACGACTAACTACGTAGTTATGCTGCTCTGGACCGCAAGGCCTCATGGTGACGTGAGCCATGGATCTAGGGCAGCGACCTCTTAGATCGAGCACTGCATGAGATAAGGGGCGTGGTCCATTGGCTACGGGGGTCAGAAAAGGCCCTTTGTCGATCAGCTCACTACGTAAGTATCCAGTAACAATGTTGCAGCAGGCCCGTGGATCTTTCAAGCTGGAATAAGCACGCGTAGTACCTCCGGCTACACTTGACTAGAGCAAGATCGCCGGGAGCAAATTGCGCTGGATGAAAAAGCTCCAAGGAAGAAAAACCGGGCTGGGTGAGGAGAACTACAATACTACTGTACTACTGTGAGATGGGACCAGGCAATCGCTGGTGCTGGAGGCAGTAAGATATCGAGCCTCGTGTCAAGGTCTTCTTTAGGGATTAGCATTTAAGTTGTACATTATCCGTGTCTGGGCTATCGATTCGTTCTATTATACAATATTTTGAATGACCACGGCAGAAACATGACTCCCACGCCCTGAATCCCTCTGCCCTTTTGGAGCTGCGCCAAACGCCTGGTCATGATGGTATAAAAAAATATTTGCAAGTGTCTTGTACATATATACACATAAAACCCTCCCCCGCACCATCCTCCCATCGTCCTGCTCCCGTCCACGTGCCGTAGTTGCTAACTAGCCCAACACTTGACATTCATGGAGTCCTGGAAGTCCTGGAAGTCCTGCGAGCTATGCAGCTCCAACCGCTCGAGTTGCACAACGACAACGACGATGGTGGCGGCAGCGCTGGACTCGACGTCTGTTCAAGATAATCCGTGTAGTCGTAGCTGCTTTCTGACCGAGCGTGTCGCTGTGCTTTAGATTGGTGTGAAGTCTTATAAGCATGAACTTCCGGTGGCACTGGTGAAGCTAGGTGATCTCGCTCGGTGAAGCGTGTTGCAGAAGATGTTGCAGCGGCGAGTCGGCGAGAATGAAGGTGGCGTTGCTGTCCGATGGTGGCTGCGAGCCACTGAGGGAAGCTTGGATCTGCGCTGGCATAGGTGGTGTGGCATGCTGGAGCTGAGGCTGGCGATGCTGATGGTTCAGTCGTCAAGCAGCGGACAGAGGGGGGGGACGAAGTTGTCGTGGTGGCTGTCGTGGGAGTGGGTAATCCTGGGTCAAAGTAATAGCCTAGATCTGGCTCTGCTGTGGCGGTGTTGAAACGGGGAGTCAAGGCGGGAGGAATGTTTGGTCGATTGAGACGTGAGCGGAGAGGTGAGCGAGGAGGTATGGTCGGAAGCATAGCGGGCCAGAAGCTGGGACGCGCACTTTCGTCGTCAGAATCTTCCGAAGCTGCGCTCATGCTCCATCTTGAGCACTCGCCCTCTTGGTCCTGGTAAGTCCGCAATAGGAGGGGAGCTGAAATGAGTGGGTTGGAAGCGGTGGGTGATTGGAACATGGGTTCAGGCATAGTTGCCGCCGTGGGCACAACCAAAACGACAGCGAGCCTGGATGTCAGAATAGACAAGAAACGATGGAGGATATTAAATGGAAGCGTACGACATACAAGGAGAGGAGAGGAGAGGAGAGGATATACATAAGGAATGACATTGCCCAAAGGAGACACGGACAGTATTCTTCCCGTCCGGACACGCCTTGCTCACCAGCGTGAGGATCATCACTGCATGAAACAAATGACCTGCAGGGATCTGAGCTCTCAACCATGCTACTATGGTATGTACGTAGTATGCTCCTGCAGCCACATTATGGACGAGTTTCCTGAACGAGCAACGAGCGCACATAATGAGGCTGACATGGACCGCTCCTCTGGGTCTGGAGATGGGGCTAAGATCTCGATCAAGCGAGACGCCAGGACCAGATCTGATAGAACCGGAGCTATGACAGATCTTCTGACACTTCTGTCAACAGGGCTGCCACGCTGACAAGGTGACATGGTGACACGATCAGGAATTGTGCCGCTGATCAAGGAAGCAAGACGTGGTGGAGCTCCAAATAAACGAGATGCTAATTTCCACATTTCGAGCCCGTGCGCTGGGTGGATCAGCTGTGCCAATGCCAATAAATGCACGGAGTACTGATCTACTGTACTAGTAGCTATGTCCATATCCAAAGGAGCTGGCTCAATTGCCTTGGAAGGCTGACCAAAGGACAAGATCAAGTTTACTACCTGCTAGACCACCTGACATCGCTTGTACAGAGTGTTTAGTGCGCCACAACTGGAATTTAGCTGTGTGTTAGATTAATGAAACCAAAACATCACCTCTTTTCCTGCGGGAATACGGGAATACGATAACGATTCGTCGACCCCGCTTGACCACAGGTAAATGTCTCCCTTAGCCACAGAACATGACGTCTAGAATACATGGCTGAAACTGGGCAGGAAGATAGACCAAAGAGACTAGTAACACCGAGCGCCATCCCCTGGAGTTAATGTGTTGTATTGGTACAAATCAATGAACCAACGCTTCATCCAAGAGAACCCGTGTCCCTCGGTCCTCGAGTTGCACCCTGAGACACCCGAGCAACGTCATCAAGCTCTGTCGATGGTAGGGAGCCTGCTCCGCACAAAGGGGCGATCGCTTGACTCTAGCTGATTTGCCTTATCTGCTGCTAATGCGGGCCTCTCTCAGCCGCTGGGTTCACCTACCCAGTCGAAGACAGCTCCTACAACTGCCACTCCAATATTCCATATGGCCGCATACCATGTCGCTCCCCAGAACTCCACGCCCTTGATGGTGCCCCAAGTCTGAATGATGGTTTCGCCTACAACCATGATACCAAGTAGAGCAGTCCGGCTGATCAGCTCCTTCTGTCTTGACGAGTACCAACCCCATGTGTTGTGATAGACATGTTGGCGCAGATCGGCAGTAGCGGGATCGAATGTGTACTCCCCTGCTGAGGGTGGCACACCAGTTGAGGATACGAACAGAAATTCTCGAGCAGCATAACCCGCAGGTATGAGCGCCAATAGTAAAGATGGCAGTCCAGCAGCACCAAGATGAGTCACGGTGAGATCTCTGATACCAGTGAAGTGAGTGATGAGATGAACAGGGAGGAAAGTGGCAAAGCTCAATTCAAGCAAGACGGCAAAGATAGCCGTAGCCAGCAGAGAAGTGGCAATCGTAGTCCATGGATCGCTGAGAATCGAACGATTCCGCACCGTCCCCTTGGGAGCCGAGTGCGGCGCGTGTGTGGGCGAGACTCGGCGCATCAGCAGGAAGGGAGCGGTAATGGAGATGATGTTTGCGATAGTGGTGAAGACGATCGTAGTGGGCCTGATGGAGTAGAACAGCGACAAGAGTAGACTATGAGGAGTGGCCATCAGCAGCGTGAGGGCGATGGTATCATATGCTGTGAAACGTTAGCGGGCACAGCTGTGCTTATCTCGAACTGTTCGCACCGTCAAAGCCCTCGAACCAGCAGACCGCTAACTGAACGACCTTCCATGCCAGAAGTCCGGTGATCTCGACCCACGATTCGGTATGTTTGGAGATTGCGGCCAGATCTCCCGCAGTGATCTCGGCGACAATGGAAAACAAAACAGAGCTCAGAAAGAAGCTCAATATGACGACCAGAGGGAAACGCAGCGCCGCGCCAACCTGAGACTTGCGCACAGGCTCCACAATGGCATTGTAGGTAGCTGTCACCGGCGATGATGGCGGCGACCGTCGTGATGGTGTCTTGACAGGTGTAGGGAACTTGGGCGGCGGCGGAGGAGATCTGGGGGTTGGTGGGGTGTCGCTCGACACCGAATGCGATTTGGCGCGACGAGGTGGCATCGCGGCAAGACTGGAGGGCACAGGTGAGACTTGACAGTGGTACAGAGTGCGATCTATCAAGCGGCTAGACGGGTGTTGCTCTCCTCAGGCGACAGGGCGAAGGTGTTGTGTTAGGTAGAAGCTTCAGTGGTCGCGTTGTTGTTCTCAGGAGGAAATGATGTGGCTGGAGCTGTCGACAAGTTTAATTGTTTTAACTGAATCATTTCAAACGTCATCCCGCCAAGCCTTTCTTCGTCTTCAAGTAGTACTTAGCAGGAGGAGGCCCTCTGAAAACTACGTAGTATGCCTATAGCATGCCTATAGCATGCCTATAGTTTACTAGAATTATGCAGCTAAACATCTAAAATCTAATACAAATTACAGAGTATGTTATTTCAGACATCACATTCCCAAAATGACGCTCAAATTATGACTAAATCATAGTCATTTGAGCCTCTTCGTAATCCTTAAGAATAATAAAACATCTGCTAAATTACCAAGGATCAATACCGCCTCATTTTCAGAGCCCTATCTCCCGGTAAAGTAGTATGTAGTATGTAGTAGTTGGTTGCACCTCTCCCTGAACTTCAACGTGCGTGCGAAACAAGATAATTATGGCTACTTACTACGTACTTTACCGGCCTATCCTCGACTTGTTGTGCAACATCTATATACGTGCTCTGCCCATTCGGTCTGGCGTCTTACAAGCGCCGTCCTTTCTACCTTATACCTAGTTAGATTTCAAGGAGAATAGGGAATCCATCATGTATCGACATGCCTCTCGTGGCCTCGCACCTGTGGTAATGCGTAGCACACTTCTCGGTAGCTCCAAGAGCATCATCGTTCATCACAATCGTACATCACAGGTGACCTGTGCTATTCCATGCTCCTTGCAAATTAGTCCCCTGCTGCTCAGTCGCAAGCATTAGTCATGGACTCATAAGAAAGAGGACTTTTTGGAGAAACTGGGGCGGAACAGTAGTGGGCAGAGGAGAGAACGTAGGTCGCAAGATTTATAAGCGGGCGCGTGTATATACATGCACGAATCGGTGTGGACGAACGGTAGATGCACCAGCGTGTCTTCGCTTCTTGAACCAGCTTCGAGAGATATCTATCCATCCAGCATCTCCCGGAACGCCACCCAAATATCTCCCTACATTCTCCATTCCCCTGGGTATAAAAATTCCTCCTCTGTAACATCACCCAACCCATTTAATCCAATATATAATTCACATATGCTCAATGGGCTCCTCCGGCAACAATCCGCCCTCACTCAATCTCCTCCTTCTCTCCGCCTCCCCACCCCTCGGCATCAATGCCCGAATTGGTGGCCTAACCAGATCATTGAAAAGAAAAGTCCCATAGACCAGCAACGCAAACCCAACAACCTGTAACCACTTAAACGACTCCCAGCCCAACCCCAGACTAACAATCCAAATGAACAGCGTACGGCACGTGTCGATGATCGATCTCGACGTTGCGGAAATGGAGCGCGTGACGCTCAGGCCGAAGAAATTGAAGCCGCCGATACTGATCATGATCAGCACCGAGGTGATGGCAATGGGACGATTGTTGAAAACTTGATGATAGCCTTCCCTGGCGTCGAAGAAGCCATTTTGTCCCTTGCTGGAGACGCCGACGCTGAAATGCAGGACTATTTGCGCGAAGATAGTGACGCAGAAGCCGAAGATGCCCTCCCAGCCGACAACGCGAATAGGTTCCAGGGCGTAGTTTTCGAGAATCCATTCCTCGACGCAGAATTGCGTGGCAGTGAAGACTTGGGCGAACGCGATCAGTAGGATGCCAGTGATGGTGCGCATTACCTCGGGTGCAGCAGCTTGAATGGCAATTTCGCGCGCTAGAAGCACGAGCATTTCCTTCTTTTCTGCATTGCTGGTTGAGGAGGCACTGTGCTTGTCGCCGGTGAAGAGGGCGCCCGCGAGACCCACGATAGCAACGCCGAGGACTACGATGAATAGGGAGAACCAGTGGTAGAGATAGAGTTTGCGTTTCAAGAAGAGGACGGAGAAGAGACCCACGAATAGGACTAGGGCCCCGCGTGTCATCTGGTATATTGATGCGGCGACCAAGAGGAGGCCGACGTTCATCAGGGTGGTGCCGGCTATGTCGCAGCAGGCCGGGATGGCGAGGAGGACGGTCTTCCATCCGGTCAGGGGCTTTCTGTCTTCCGTTGTATTGGAGATGAGGGGTTTGAGGGCGGGTGAAGCATCGAAGATGGCGGAATGGGATGAAAGTGGTCGGGGGTCGTCTGCATCGTCGATCGCTTCCGACGTATTGTCGGTTGGGAGAGGTTTATACAGGTGTGAACCGGATCGTGAGGAGCGGCGGGCCAGAAATTGTTGTTGAAGATAGAAACCGAGGACGACTAGCCAGCAGCCCATCTCACCGATGAACATTTGAACGCTGCAGAAGATCGTCAGGCGCTTCTTACACAGACGTTTCTCCACTAAACCTACGTTTGTATAACAGGTTGCTCGAAGTTCTGTTTCTGCTTCTTGTCCTTGCTGTCGCAGTTTCGAACACATTGCATGTCCTAGGGAGGGTCAGCTTGCTCGTTCAGACCAGACAGTAGAGATACTAACCTGCAGCTTCGTGAGGAGAGTATTACAAACGCCGGTCACCAACATCATGGTGACCAGGAACGGTATCACCGCCTTGACAGCCATGATGGAGGTGATGGACTAGGGCTGGCCGAGCGGCACTTGAAGGACGGACTGACTGTTCTGCTATTGCACGGGGAAGTGATTGCGCCTTTCTTGCGGAAGAAGAGATGAGCATACAAAAGAGATTGCGAAAATGAAATGTGTAGTCACGTACAGATCACAAGATAGAGGTGATCGTGATCTGTACGGAGTACAGTATGTAAGTACTTCGAGATCGGCGCAGCTGACGTATATTTGTCAGGTCTGGGCACAATTGGCACCCCATTGCAGCCTCTGTTCACTGCCAGGTTACACGAGTACACAAAGGATACTGCAGGAACAAATCCGGTTCGAATGTCATGGACTCATGCTCGAACATGGACTTGCATCTGCATTACACAAATTCAAGGAACTTCTGATTTTCCTTGGAGAGCGTTACAGTACATTTCCACACCTGTGCGTATTACACCATATCTTACTCTCTGCTCTCCCTTCGTCTCTTTAATGTCACTGTACGCGTTCCCCAACGCAATGCACAATGCCGTGCATGCAAACCCAACTCGGTCATCTGCGCAAGTACCATAGTCCCACTCCGACCAATACAACAGCACTCACGAGTTTGCCGATTTTCTTCAAAATCCGCCTGTTTTGACACCGGCGCAGGGCCTTGACTCTATCGTGAAAGGCCGCGCCCTCATTCACCCTTGGAAAGGGCTCCTCGACTTCCTTCTCGCCAATCACGGTCGTAGGCACGGGGACTCCTAAGAAATCGCAGAGAGGCTTATAACCATCTTGAACCTTGAACTCAAGGAGTCTTTCTCTGGGAACAATCCTGCGAATGTGCTCATGGTATTCAATGAAACTGGCTTTCATGTTGCTCTCGCTCATGCCGCCAGGGCGCGAGCCAAACATGTTATACATCTGCTGACCAAGCATTTTCCAAACCTGCCCTAACTCTCTCCAATCGAGGAGGTCACGTAGCACTGACCAAGCATTTGGCGACGCAACCTTGAGGATAGTCTGAGTCATGGAGATATACCACTTGTCAACATCACGGTTGAGTATCACAACTTTGGCTTCGGGATAAGATGCGATCAACTCATCCGCGAAAGCGGCAGAAGGTAGATCACAAACAGCCTCGAAGATGTGTGAGCTGGAGGTCTTAATCTGTATGAGGGTAGTATTTGACACACCTGGCAGTGTCCTAGAAGCTGATCCCAATTTTCTTTGGTGAATTTGCCTCTCCTGTTCCATTTTGCATCTCCAGCCCTTAACCACCACTGTGCGTCATCGGGGTCGTGGATAACGCTACGAAAATGGTATATATTGTTGAAATCCATACGGGACAGGGCAACTTTGATTGCTGTTCACCATGTTAGAATATATCAAGGTAATCAGAGCCCTCGACCTACAGGATGTTCCTGTTCGTGGTAGACCAAACACAAGTACCCGCATTGGAACGATACGCGTGGCCTTGTGCCTGTCTGCCATAGGGCCTTGACGAAAGACCTCTGGGAAACGTTCTTCATCGCTCCGGTTGGAATCCGACCCGAACTCGCTGGGGAATGGTTCGGATGCCATAGCGAGGAGATTTTAGAGTGAGGAAAACAGCTGCGGGCTTGTGCCAGAGACGAAATGGAAGTAGAAGGTAGGAGTGACCAGGAGATAGCACTGCTGCTACTTGGGAAAACTCTTTGAAGGACTAAAGAAATGAAGGAATGGAGATAAGTATTATGTGGAGGGGAGAGTGCATCCAGCGGGGGTACTCTGTAAGCAGTACCAGGATCACATCCTTTTCTCTTTTGTCTTTGGCCAATTCCACTTGGATATGCACGGAAAAGCGGCTTCGAGGAGCCCGCCGACCTACTGAAACCTGACCCGGATAATAAGACCAGCAAGGAGGGGAGCATTTGAAGCAACAGCAATCGGCCGTTCAAGCCTTGATACCACGGAGCCACGGCATGCTACGTACCGTCAGCAGTACCGGGCCGGTAGTTTTTGACCTCCGTTGACAGATAACTGTGCATCACGCGAATGGGAAGTTGCATTTCTGGACGAGTAGGTATCCACCGCTCCGGCCATCAATTCAGTAATACTAGTACCTATGACTATCATAATCTGCACCCTACCTGCCTACGTCTGCATCTTCCCTGAGAGCTGGCCGTTGCTTGACCTGGCCACCCAGTCATGCTGCTCCTGTTGCACAAATCAAGGCCAAATGTGTCGAGGTGAAGAGGGTAAGGATGCAGGCGAGCCTGGGAGAAAGCTAGCAGGGACCAACTTTCATCATGCACGTTGTGACGATCGGCTGCCAGATCATGTGGATTGCTCACGTCACAGCCAGCGCGCGGAGGTGAACAAGACTGGAACTGTCCACACTTAAACTCTTCGTAGATGGTAGGGTGAAGATTAGGAGCAGGATGGGCATCGATCGGTATATATATACTTTATACTCGGGCTCCAAGCAAGCACCAGCAAGGTCCTGATGACGTGCTTGGGCTTGGGCATAAAAAGTCCGTAGTGGAATGCGGAGTAAATGGATAACCAGGCACACAACGGCTTATCTACTGAATTGAAGTCTGAACTGGAAACAATACCGATTCCATATGCTGGGTTTCTGTTCGGATGGGTCATTTGGAGCTAAAAAATCTATCATTGGTACATTGCGCTCACAGCTCACGAAAGTCAAAGCTCTATCGCGGGCCACAAATGTGACTAGGTATCTCACAAAAGTACATAAAAGGCACACATCATCGATAGGCCCATAATCATGGATATCCAAAAACAAGCATTGTTGAAGACCCACCTGCCGCGGACCAATTTCGATCTCTGCAGGGCAACGATCGGAAGCTGAAGCATCATGGCCACGAAGCCATATCCTCGAAGTTTCTTCGTGATGCAGCCCATGATCAGTTCATGGCCAAAGGCGCTAACGAGAAAAGTGATCAGCATGGCGATCGAGTTGGAGAAGTATGTCTTCGAGGAGAAGTAAACATGTCGACGGAGAAAATGGTGAACGGGGATGTTCCATTCCCGAGAAAACTCCAGCCAGTCACTCGAATTCCACCAATCTGAATAGAAATGTCGATCGGCGAAACAAGTGATCTCCGCAAATGCCCCCAGAAGGTATTCGAAAATGACCAGAAACACCAGCAAAAATGTGATCATAAATGGAAATAAGAGCATGCTGATCGTCTCGGCCAAGATCAGCCCCTTATCTAGCAGCTTCGTGACGTGCTGTAGCCGACCTGCCGACTCTGCAAGTACCGGCATGATGTATTCCTCACTTATCAGGGTGAGCAGGAAGATGCAGCCAAATACCGCAAGGGTCTTGTAGAAGAGCTCTAACCACTGTATCTTGGGTGTACGCGGATATTCAAGTTCATAGCAGAGCGTGGGGCACAGCACAAAATCGCAATAATTCCACAAGGTCATATTCTTTGGATAGGTCGTTATTCCCAACGGCGATGTCAACTCACTTGCGAGGTCTTCCCGAAGCTTTTCTAGTTTTTCTAGCTTTTCTTCCTGCTCGACCATCTCTGCTGATCCGTTGGCCGTTGAATTGTGTTGTCTTGTAGGAGAGCTGGGATACTTGACCACGTCAGCCAGCGAGGCGTCACTTGGCTTGTCGAGAGATTTCAATCTCTTCTCACTCTCGCTCAGATGGCCGTTATAGAATGCATATGAATGCATTTTCATAAGCAAGACAAGGGTGTGCAAAATGAAAAAGACTTGCGCAGTCCACGTCCATTGTAACGTGAACGGCCACTTCACCCAAAGCGCCAGCCAGAAGCATTGATATACGCTCTGTATGATAATGCCTCCATTCCGCCATCGTAATGCTCGAGCACTACTCCTGAAAATCTTGTGTAGCGGCAGGGTGACAGCGGTGCTGAGAACCATTGCCCCATCGCTAAAGGCAAGCTGTATCACATTGGCGGATAACAGTTTCCATACCTGGACCCGTAAAGGGTAGCCTGTGTCTTTGATGTTTCTCAGGAAGGTCGTAAGTACCATTATTGTCAAGCTGATCCAGAACAATACGAAGAAGCCTTTGAAATCTCGATAGTCACTGCTCGGATCGAAGTGCGAAACCCTAGGAGTGTAGTTGATGGTATGGAACAGGCGGTGTTTGGCTTGTGCTCTTGCGTGTTTTCTGGCGGAAGAGATTGATTGTTCGGAGGGAGGTGCATCTGGAGGTAATGGTGTTGAACGCCCGCTGGTACATTGGAGTCAGTGCGTGGCTTGGGAATTGTGAAAAGGACATTTCTTACCTGGAGATGCCCGACACGGTTGGATCTGGTAGCAGGTGGAATCCATAGTCTTCCTGTGCTCGCAAATTGCTAGGAATCGGTGGCTTGACAGGTCGAGGCCGTAATATACGTTCTGGACTGCCTTCACCACGATAGGGTACCATGTTGATGGGCCGCGTGCTGGATGCAGCAGGGATTTCCGAGTGAGTTATGGGGTACATGTGGTTGATCAAGAAGGTCGTCGACTCCTCTCAGCACCTGCTGTGACATGATAAATTTCTGTACATATGTAGCACTATTCAACAATAAATTCTCAGCCCTCAAAGCTACCCACGTCAGGCTTTCCACGAATCTTTTCCCATTGCAGGTCGCCCGGCAATTTCCCTTGAATATTTCGCCGACTGGGACACGAAGAGATTCTGGACTGCGTTCTCTATCTGGGACAAATACATTCCGGAGAAAAGGTCTTCAAGAGAATAACTCTACATCCTGGGAAGACGATGACCCTGCTCGTACGCGGCAATAACCATTGCCCATAAAGCGCACTTCATCCCTCTTGACCCCAAGATATCTAGGTGACCGCAATGAGCTCCTGTGAGTGATTCAGGTTGGGCTTGCTCTTCCGTATGCTGAGATTGAAGCAGTAAAACAATTCATTCGCAATGTGCGAGCATCCAAGACCATCGCAGACGAACGTGCTGTTGTACAGAAAGAGAGTGCGGCCATCAGAGCCAGTTTCCGAGAAGAAAGTGGAGACTCAAATACAAGGTCCGGATGATATTTGAACTGCAGAACTGTCGTTGATGCTAGATGCAGGCGGAACAATGTTGCCAAACTGCTATACCTATTCACCCTTGGAGAGCGGACACATTTCGGACAGATAGAATGTTTGAAACTCCTAGCATCACCAAGATTCGCAGACAAAAGGTTGGGATATCTGGGAACCATGCTTCTCCTTGATGAGAATCAGGAGGTCCTAACGCTGGTAACAAACTCGCTTAAGAAGTGAGCTGCAACACCCCCTTTACAAAACATTTCTGACTGGCATATAGCGATCTGAACCACTCCAATCAATACGTGGTTGGTCTTGCCCTGTGTACGTTGGGCAATATCGCCTCAGTCGAAATGTCTCGAGACCTTTTCCCGGAGATCGAAAACCTGCTATCAACCGCAAACCCCTACATTCGAAGAAAAGCTGCACTCTGTGCCATGCGAATAGCCCGCAAGGTGCCAGACTTACAGGAGCATTTCATAGAAAAGGCCAAAGTCTTGTTGTCCGATCGGAATCACGGTGTTCTCCTCTGCGGATTGACGCTTGTCACAAGCATGTGCGAGGCAGACGAGCTCGAGGGAGGTGAGGAGGGTGTCGTGGAGATGTTCCGTCCAGTCGTGCCACACCTGGTACGAACATTGAAGGGGCTTACTAGTTCTGGATATGCGCCGGAACACGATGTCTCTGGTATTACTGATCCTTTTCTACAAGTCAAGATACTGCGACTCTTCAGAGTATTGGGCAGAGGTGATGCAACGACGAGCGAGCAGATCAACGATATACTTGCGCAGGTTGCTACAAATACCGAAGCATCAAAGAATGTTGGAAACTCGATCCTTTACGAGGCTGTTTTGACCATACTAGAGATAGAAGCGGACTCAGGTCTGCGGGTCCTCGGTATCAATATATTGGGCAAGTTCCTGACGAATAAAGACAACAATATCCGCTACGTTGCCTTGAACACTTTGGTCAAAGTTGTGACTGTGGAGCCGAATGCTGTTCAGAGGCACAGAAATACCATCCTCGAATGCTTGCGAGATCCTGATATCTCAATTCGTCGAAGAGCGCTTGATCTCAGCTTCACGCTGATCCGAGAGGACAATGTTCGCGTTCTCATTCGAGAACTTCTTGCCTTCCTTGAAGTGGCCGACAACGAGTTCAAGCCTGTCATGACAACACAAATTGGCATTGCTGCTGATCGTTACGCACCAAACAAAAGATGGCACATCGACACCATGCTCAGAGTAGTCAAGTTAGCTGGGAATTATGTCAAGGAGCAGATCCTCTCGTCGTTCGTGCGGCTGATTGCAACCTCACCAGATCTTCAAACATACTCGGTGCAAAAGCTTTATGCTGCTTTGAAAGCCGACATAACCCAGGAAGCTCTGATACTGGCCGGAACATGGGTGATTGGAGAATATGGAGATGCGCTTCTGCGCGGGGGCTCCTACGAGGAGGAAGAACTCGTTAGAGAGGTCAAAGAAAGCGACATCGTCGATCTTTACACCACAATCCTAAACTCCACGTATGCCAATCAAGTGGTCACCGAATACATCATCACCAGCGCCATGAAACTTACCACCCGCATATCAGACCCTGCTCAGATCGATCGAATTCGTCGCCTCATGTCTCAGCGAACCGCAGACCTCAATATCGAGATTCAACAAAGGGCAGTGGAATACGGCAATCTTTTCGGCTACGACGATATTCGGCGAGGTGTTCTCGAGAAGATGCCACCACCAGAGATTCGAGAAGAACAGCGCGTTCTTGGCCAGGCCACGACCTCCGCTAAAGACAAGCGATCGAGTAGAGCGCTCAAGGATAAATCCAAGAAGCTGCCTAAGCCACCAGACCAGGACCTGCTGCTAGATCTAATGGGTGGATCCGATGTTCCTTCGTCAGATCTCAAATCATCTACTAATGGCAGCAACAATACAGCCGACCTGCTAGCAGATATATTAGGTGGGGGCCCGACAACTAGTCCGCCTCGAAAAGCCGCTGGTGCCGCTGGTCGCCAATCAAACGCAGAATCCATCATGGATCTCTTCGGCGGTGGTGGAGCACCAGCCAATGGAACACAATCATCTCAAAACTCGGCACCGCAACAACCCTCATCATCATCTATGGACCTCTTCTCCGGCACGGCCACTTCCCCACCACCAACGCAATCACAGTCCCCAGCGCCTCCTACCGCCCAGCCAGTCTACAACAAAAACAACCTCGTCGTAACCATTCAGGTCCACCGGAACCCAGGGGCCTCTTCATCCGCACAACTTCTCGCTCGCTTCCGAAACGCCTCAAATTTCGAGCGACTCAGCGGGGTAGGGCTGCAGGCCGCGGTGCCGAAGAGCCAGAAATTGGTACTACAGGCTATCAACCGGAGCATGTTGGAGGGTGGGGAAGAGGCGACGCAGGCGATGAGAGTGGCGGGCGTTAGCGGGGTGAGTTTGCCTTTCTTTTTTCCCCCCCCCTTCTCCTCTTCTCTTATGTAGCAAGCGGTAAGGTTGGGGGAGTGAAGGAATGCTTTGGGCTGATTCGATGTGTGAGCATATGCAGAATCTACCGCCGAAGCTGAGGTTACGACTCAAGATCAGCTATGCGAAGGATGATGGCAGCCCCGCGGTCACGGAGCAGGTGGATTGGAGCGAGTCGTGAATCTTGAACCGAAGCGAAAGCACGTGTGCATTGTGTAAGGTGTTTTTGCTCATTGATCTCGTACCCACGCATGGGAAATCGGGTGCTGGCGTGGGCAGGCATATATTATTCCGCCTTGGCTGAGAGCTATGCTAGGATCTCTTTGATGCTGTAGCTGCGAAGCAGAGACCGATGTTCCCCAATGGGATGAAGATGAAATGAAACGAGGTCAGGCGAGATGGAACACCGGCAATCTTCCCGGGCTTACTTCCCTCCCCACACGTCAAATTCTATGTCTATCCTTCTTGTTCTATCTATCTCATTTCTTGGTCTACTACTCTCCGTCTGCGCATGCACATGCACATGCACATGCACATGCACCTTCATGAATCACGATGAAATAAAACATCTCTGACGCACCACCCCTTGAGCTGATCATTGATTGCCCTTCCCTGGGATTCTTATTCTCGGGACTCTCCCGGAGTGGATTGGAGCGGGAGGAGGGGGTGGGTCGGTTGCGTGCTTGCAAGCTTGAAGGGTGAGGAAAAGGAGACGGGGCGGAGATGAGGGTTCGAGGAGCGAGGGGTTGGAACTCGAACAGCATGTAGGTAAAAGGCGCAAATCTGGCATCTGCGCCTTCGAGATACCTTTATCTCCTGGTGGATGGATAGATGGATGGATAGGATGTCTGCGTTTTTTTCTACCCGATGTAGCGAAGTATACGATGCCTACCAACCTACACTTGTAAGGCTGCATCTCGACCTACGTGCGGTATTATTTATGCTTCATATCCACTCTCCCGGATTGTTGCTGCTGCTGCTACTGCTACTGCTACTGCGAGGTTAACGCACTCCAGCGGCGCTGACTTGACTCGCAGTGCACAACCCAACCCAACCCAACCCAACCCAGAGTTACAGCTGGAGAAGTGCAAGAAAAGGTACTGGGACTATGCTATGTTATATCAGATCTACATATCTAGGAACGTAGGTACGTAGGTAGGAATTTGTTGCGCAATTCGATATAGAGTCGATATGTTGCACCAGGTCATCAGCTACATTACTTGGCTGTGCTGCGGTTCAGCGTTGCGAGGCAGCTGGGCCCTCGGCCCTTCCCCGTTCGCTTAACCAGACGAATGATTGACGGGGAGCAGCACTCTGCCCGGTTACGAGGCCCGGGGTGGTTTCCTGTATGATGACCACCCGTATCAAGGCAAGGAATCTACTGCGTACAGGGTGGGTGAACACAGGGGTGATTTTGGAACCAGGAGATCGAGCACAGATGGGTGAGTGGGTGAGTGAGTGAGTGAGTGAGTGAGTCAGGAGAATGCATTTCTCCTTTTTCAAGCCCATTTTGCCAAGTTTTAGAACAGACATCTACTCGTTATCAATACTAACGCGAGCGACGCAACGGCGCGAATTGCAAAGGATCGTCGTCCAGGGCCCCCAACCATCCCAACCCCAGACGTAACAGTCAGAGCGCGACTCCCCACCCTCATCGTGTCCGGTCTGACACAGCCAACGCGCGAGTCCGCCCAGGGAGTGGCGGGGGCCGGGCCGCCATTCGCTGTGATGGTGGTGCTGTTGGACCAGAACGCCAGCACGAAAGGGATTGAGCGCGCCAGCATGGCGTCGTAGACGGCGAAAGCTGTGTCGTTCGGGGCGTAGCCGGGCCCGCCGAGGTTGATGGGCACGCTGGGTCTGGAGGGTGTGCAGTTCAGCGCCGAGTCCGGGTTCAGGGACGATGGAGCTGGGAGATGTGCGTTAGTTGTAGGTTAGGTATCTGTCAAGGGAGATGAGTGGGAAAGGCGAGAAGGGGTAATGACGTTCACGCAATACTAGCTGGAGCCGCTGGAGTGCGAACAGAGGCAACAAGAAGTATTTAGGGGCGGCAAAGGACATACCGATTGAGAAGGCTGATCCCCAGGAACCGTCGCTGCTCGAGTCTTCACACTCGTCTGGCGCTTGCAAGTTGACCAGATTGTGACATGCGTCAAATCTGTCGGTGGGACCGCCATCCTGTCCTATCTGCCGCGCGATAGATCTTGCAGAATTCCGGTAATATTCACTCAGCGCTTCTGAACAGCCGGCGCTGATACAGCCATCTCTGTCCGTGGGCCTCCCCCCCAACTGTATGATGCAGGTATCGTACGGGAGAGTACTTTCGTTGGTGCCAACGGTGGCGGATGTGTCGAGCCAGAGCCTCAGGCTCGTGCCCCGGCCTGAGGGGTCTCCATGGTCGGTCACGGTGCTGCTGATGGACCAGTTGGAGGATGGATCCGACCTGATCTCGCCGTTGGGGCCGTCCACCATAACCCCGGGGAATGGGGCAACGCCTGTCGCATTGGCATTATCCCGAATCGCAGAGAGGTCACAGTTGGTTGGGGGAGTGTATGTCCCGTTTTGGCAGGCTGCTTGCGTTGTAAGGCCGAGGACAGCAAGAACAGTGAGATAGTTGAGACTCATGACTGCGTGCTTGGATGATTGACGTGTTGATAGTGGCTGTAGAGCCTTGGGGTGAGCTCCATTATAAACGCCTGAGGCGGGAGTGGAACATGGCACGATGCTGGCGGACTAACATACCGTATTCACTCAACTCCATATCAAGCCTTGACGTGCACATGATCTGAGAGCAGGCAGTGCTCCGTACTTTTGCCTCAGTTCTCAGCCGTGCTATGTGGCTTGGACGATGACTACTACGTAAGTCAATGTGTGCCAGCACGTCTGAGGTCAAGAATCAAAATTACGCCCAGGTTGTTGTTTGACCCATAAAATAGGCAAGCTACACCCATTTGGGCTAAAATCACGTGTAGTAGCTTGCAATTTGTAGGTTTATGTAAAATTCCATGGAATCTGCAGCTATTTTGCGCAGAATCCTACGCAGAATACGCAGCTAATCTCGCACAGAATCCTACGCAAATGTTAGGGCTCAACTGGTTAAGACAAGTCTCAACTAGAAGCTGGGTCCAAGTGGGTTGGTTGGGTAGAACAGGAAGTGCAGTGAACGATACTAGAATGTCTTCAACTTAGGTATGAGCTGATAACATGAGTTGACTACCTAAGACTATGAAACTATCTGGGAAATGAGCGTGCTTATATAGACTAGAAGATTCGTGCTCAGAGTTGATCATCCTGATCACCTCTGATCATTGCTCATGAGTGCTCACCCTGATCACCTCTGATCATTACGTTGTCCAAGTCCGACCATGTGTGTAGTTCAGGGTCCAGTCCTGTCCAAGTCTGTCATAGTTCCTTCGCAGAGTGCCAGGCAGCTCCGTAGTGCCTGTCGGTGCTTGGCGTGTTCACGTGCTGTAACAGCAAAATCCATATCTATTTCAATGCAAAATCCTACGCAGAATCCATATCTATTTCGGCGCAGATTACGCAGCTATCTCATGCAGAATCCACAGTTATTTTGGCGCAGAATCCTACGCACAATTCGCAGCGGTGACAATATAAAATACAATACAAGATTTTAACACAAAATTCCCATTGAGAATACTCGAAAAATACACAAATTATATAGAGAGCTACTAAAGCATAACCTGGAAAAACAATCTAATTAATTATTAATTAATCTGGAGACAGGATGAGAATTACCAACTATATACAGAGTCGTGTATTAAAAGTAGGCAAACTACGCTAATATTAAGGTGAGAGCTAGCAGGTACTAAGTGTAAGCTAGGCACATTAGCCCAGAATATGCAGGCGTGCCTAGATGAGCCTTAGCACTAAGGGCCTTATAGCATACATAGTAGGTCAGTCGCTTAAAGAGAAGCCTAGAAAGTACTCAAGTTTTAGAGCCTTCTCTAGGCTTTCTTTCGGCCAGAGTACTAAGCACCTTCCCAGGCTAGTCGATACTAGTTCACTTTAGTAGAACCTTATTATCAGTGTAGTTTGACTACTTTTGATGCACGACTCCGTATTTCAAGTATTATTAGTAACTGATTAACATTAAAGATCTTACTAGATCTTCAATTTAAGCTGAGTATTCTCTCTTTCATTAATATTACCATTAATCTCTATTCTATTTCCTTTCCAGGCAGACTGTACAGCTTCAAAATATCAATAATGAGGCTGAATTCGCTGTAACAGCGCTGGGCGAGGGTTGTGTCAGGCCATTTTGTTGCACAAGACCGTATTTGACTTAAGTAAGCCTGTCTGGGGGACTGAGGCAACCGATCTTCATCATCTGCGCCATGCTTGAGTGAGAAGGCAGACAAAATCCAAATCCAACCCACATATCAATCTGATTCGATCATCTCCGTCCCGGCCAGGGGACTTCCACCACAAACCACATTGCCTAGCTTACATGCCTTGTGATAGACACGCTGCCTGCGGTTGCAACACGTTAACCGTGCACTTTTTGCACCAAGCTTTGCAGCTTAGTGCACCGCAGCGCAACGATAGAACGCAGCGCAACGATAGAACGCAGCGCAACGATAGAACGCAGCGCAACGATAGAACGCAGCGCAACGATAGAACGCAGCGCAACGATAGAACGCAGCGCAACGATAGAACGCAGCGCAACGATAGAACGCAGCGCAACGATAGAACGCAGCGCAACGATAGAACGCAGCGCAACGATAGAACGCAGCGCAACGATAGAACGCAGCGCAACGATAGAACGCAGCGCAACGATAGAACGCAGCGCAACGATAGAACGCAGCGCAACGATAGAACGCAGCGCAACGATAGAACGCAGCGCAACGATAGAACGCAGCGCAACGATAGAACGCAGCGCAACGATAGATTTTTTCAATTATTCGTACGGCCACACAAAACGCGCTCCCATTCAACGAAAAATGGCCGAATCCTATCAAGAAATTGAGGATAGAATCAATGATGCTATTTACGCATTAAACGAAGCCGAATTCCCTAATATCGCGAAAACAGCGCGCCAATTCGACGTCCCTGAGCAGCGACTCCGAAGAAGATTCAAGGGCGTTCAAAATAAGATACAATGTGGGGGGAGTAATAAGAAGCTCAATAAGGATCAAGAGCTTGCTCTTTGTCACTATCTTGATCGATTAGACGAATCAGGAGTGAGTGCACGTCCTCGAATGCTTCAAAGCGCTGCAAATTCTATCCTCGAACGTGCTCATAGCAATTCTACAACTACCCCCCCTATAGTCAGCAAAGATTGGACTCTACGCTTTCTATAACGCTATCCGAAGTACATTATAAAGAAGAGAAAGCCTCTCTCTATTCTACAAAAGCTTACGCATAATCAAGAGGAGATACAAGCTCATTTTGAGCGATTTCGTGAGACCAAGGCCAAATATGGTATCCTCGAAGAAGATATTTATAATATGGATGAAACAGGCTTTTGAATAAGCGTCCGCCTGGCCAGCCTAGATATGTTCTTAGATTGGCCCTCAAAATGTTTCTGAATTGACCCTTGAATATTTCTTCTGCCACTAATTCTTGTGGTAGTACTTCAAACCCTCTCCGAGGCCACATTTGTTGACGAATTGCCTCTAAATTATCTTATTGTGTGCAGTGAAACTGGATATTCGAATTCTGATATTCATAATAAGTGGATTCGTTATTTTGATAAATCCACAAAAGCTGTTACAAAAGGCCATGTATATAATATCCTATTTTGAATTCGAATTCATACAATTTTGCTAGAATAATACTATTATTCCCTTTTGCCTTCCTCCTCATTCTACGCATCTTCTACAGCTACTTGATGTAGTATGCTTTCAACCACTTAAGCACTATCATACAGAGGCTATTGACCGTGCCGTACGGCTTGGCAATTGCTCATTTTCGCAAGCAGCCTTTTTGGCCAATATCCACGAAATTGCAATAGCTATAGAAATAGAAAAAATCTATCGTTGCGCTGCGTTCTATCGTTGCGCTGCGTTCTATCGTTGCGCTGCGTTCTATCGTTGCGCTGCGTTCTATCGTTGCGCTGCGTTCTATCGTTGCGCTGCGTTCTATCGTTGCGCTGCGTTCTATCGTTGCGCTGCGTTCTATCGTTGCGCTGCGTTCTATCGTTGCGCTGCGTTCTATCGTTGCGCTGCGTTCTATCGTTGCGCTGCGTTCTATCGTTGCGCTGCGTTCTATCGTTGCGCTGCGTTCTATCGTTGCGCTGCGTTCTATCGTTGCGCTGCGTTCTATCGTTGCGCTGCGTTCTATCGTTGCGCTGCGTTCTATCGTTGCGCTGCGTTCTATCGTTGCGCTGCGTTCTATCGTTGCGCTGCGTTCTATCGTTGCGCTGCGTTCTATCGTTGCGCTGCGTTCTATCGTTGCGCTGCGTTCTATCGTTGCGCTGCGTTCTATCGTTGCGCTGCGTTCTATCGTTGCGCTGCGTTCTATCGTTGCGCTGCGTTCTATCGTTGCGCTGCGGTGCACTAAGCTGCAAAGCTTAGTGCAAAAAGTGCACGGTTATGCCTTGCCGTGCTAAGAGAGGCTGTGGTTGAGTATGTAATGCATTTCTCGAGGTACGGTACCGAGATTGGGGCGCCATGGGCCGGAGTCTGAGTCTGACGCCCGGAATCTTATGCAGTATTTCACTTCCAAGCAACGAAGGAGAAACAGTGCTCCTGTCAGAGACGTGAACATGGTCGCCTCACTTCCCAATGAAAATTCCATGCCTTGGTTGCCAGGGCGTGCTTGCACTATATCCTTACTACTAGTTTACTGGTTACTATCAGAGGACCGGAGGACTTAACTTCCCCTAACTATAACAATCTTTCTGGAGGTAGTGCCGCCTACCCAACTATAGGATCAAGTCTTTTCACGTGTTGCCCCGGACGATATGGCTTACCTTAAGTTGTCATGGACACAGTAGACGATTCGTCGCTCAGTAGCCGGTAGGGAGGGTATGGCCTTGAAGACATCTAACTTGGGTTCACAGGATTAAATCACATCAACTGGTCGGCTCTACCAACAATAAGGAAATTCGTCTCGTGTTACAAACTAGCTAGCTAGCTATCAGACTCGTATCAGTTCGTTGGAGTTGTGGAGGTCGGTGCAAACTGTCAGGATCTTGACGCTTCTCACATCTCGGTCCTAGCTGCGCGCTTGCCTGCTCGAATCTCATCTGAATCTGCTTGTCCTGTGCTCCTTCGTAATGGGCTTGCCTGCTCTGTTCTGTGCTCCAGAGCCCCGTGCTATGTCTGCGCCCCAATCCGGTGCTTTGTCTTTACTCGTCACCTCCATCGAGGGCTTCAAGCTTGCTTGTCTTGTGCTCCGGGCCTCAGGGCAGCGTCTTCAACTGTGGTTTCTCGAGACCAACACCATTCTTTCCCGCTCTCCATATGAAACAAAATGCTTCGCAGCAAACCTTTATCCTGTTGACCTCTGTGTAGAGGCACAGCTACTGGGAATGTCGATTAACATGAATATTTGAGCCACTAGAACATCTTCATCGTACACGAATTTTAAAGACTGCCTCTCTATCTGCAGCCTGTATCAATACCTTTCGCGAGACTGTCAACTGACAGCGTAGAGAGCGATCACCATCGTGTAGCAGTGGAATGAGCTGCACTAAGGAGTCTAGGCCAGACCTATCGAGCTCAATACACGGATGGTCTTCTGGTACCCATCCCTGGATTGCGTAGCTCAGACCTGTAACTTGAACCAGGATAGTGATCGTCATCGCGACCTGCATCACGAGGTGCCCTACTGTAAAGAGGGCTGTGAGTGCCATCTTGCGTTCTAGTTCGTGCTGAGGCGACTTTTTCGCTAGAAACTCTTGGCTTGTAGCTGCTTTCCTGGCCGTTGGGTGAGATCTCTCGATAGAGGTTCTGCACGCCACGCTGACTGCTTACACCCCTGGCAAGACGTGGAGGTTCGCGGGGCTGTGCCGACATTCGGCTAGATTCGTGACGAGACGGCGAAGGACGGGCTGGAGGGACATCCACCGGCGAGTGAGGAGTATAGGCTGTTGCGGCTCGAGATGGTCGTTTGCCAGACATGGAGAGCGTAGGCCGTTGCGGCTCCACCGGAGGGCTTTTGGCCCGACGACGTGATTCCTCAGGGTCCACACGGATAGTGCGATGCCCGCGGGTAGAGAACTCTTCTGCTTCGTCTACAATCTGATATCTTATCGCAGATGCATATTTGGGAGGACTGGTTCCAATCGTGTCAGGGGTTGCCGGACTTGAGCTTCCGTATCCTGAGTCGTGTGTTTCGTGCTTCAGGTTTGAACCACGGGATGGTGCATTATCGCTTCGACGGGCTGAAGCCCCAGATGGCATGGTTTGAGACCGAGGCATTGTTGGGACTGCGTTACGATGATCACGGACTGCTTGCGTAGTGGTTGAGCGATGAGGTTGGGGTACGTCTCTACGGTCTTCAGGGATCTTGATGTTTGCCGGTGCAGATGTTGCCGTTGGCATGGCCGGCATCTTTCTTGACCTCACATCTCTAGGAACCTCTACTTCGGGATAAGAGGGTCTTGTTGAACTAGACACTTTCGGTCGATCCCTTTCGTTGCGTCTGTCTTCCCTATCACTTCCACTTCGACGAGCGTAAGGTCTATCATCTCTTGGCTCGAAGTAGGAATGAGAAGAATCCTGTCGGTGCGTCTGCCGAGGTCGATCTGGTGCAGCTTTTTGAATGTAATCACGAGCAGAGGCGTGCCAAGCTTGGTGCTTGTCCCTGCTCCAGTCGTCATCGTCGTCATCGTCACTATACTTAGATTCCTTCCTTCGAGGGTGTTCTGGTCGAGATCTTCTTGGCGTAGAAGACGCTGATCTGGCTTTTGCTGCCTTGCGATTCACGCTGACATACGTTTCGGTGTCAGTGTCGCTATTCGAGTCGTCCTCCACATACGCTCTTCGACTATTGTGCTTATCAGACGCGTCTCGCTTTCGTTCTTGGTCTCTGCTTTTCGCAGTCGCAGCTCGAACATCCTTTTCCTTGATCTTTTCCTTAGCAAGCGCAGCTTGCTTCTGCAATTTCAGAGCAATTTCAATCGGAATACCGCCAGCTTTCCAGCCTGTGCTCTTCCTCTCTACATATCCACCTGAAGGCTTTCTCTCATAGTTTTCTGCCTTTCTTGCTGAGGCACGGGATGGCTCTTCTCGGAATCTGTCTTCTTCGTCAAAGAAGGCCGCACCTCTAGGCACTCTCTCCTCATAATAATCTCCACCTCTGTACTCGCCTCCAGCACTAAACTGAGAGGGCCGTGTAGGATATGTCGACGACCTGACCGGAAGTTCTCGTCCGAGAGCCTCCTTCCGCAATTCGGCCAACCTGACCTTGTCATCGTAGCGGGATCGTTTGGCTGGGTCACTAAGGAGTTCATATGCTTGTTGAACCTTCTGAAACTCCTCTCTTCCCTTGACACGTTCTGCTTCGTCCTTTATCCGATCGGGGTGGAATTTGAGAACCAACTTTCGATGAGCACTACGGATTGTACTGAGATCTGCATCTTTAGAAATGCCTAGAGCGAGATAAGGATCGATCGGAGGTGGAGACGACATGGTTCTGGCATGTAGAGGGGGACGATAATTTCAAGTGGCGTTGAGAGAATGGAATGCACGACTTATTGTGGTTCAAAAGGCGGTCGCGGTGCCATCCATTGTAAAAAAGCGGTCAAAATAAGGCCAGGAGGGTAGACACGGTCCCTAAAAGGTACTCGAGTAACATAAATGTAACAGACGACTTGCAGGTTAATTATGGGTGGTTGTTGCACACTGTGAGACGATGATGGACTTTGTTGGGTAGTGGCAAGTAGAAGACCTTTCACCCTGATCCTGATCGGGAGCAGGACGCCGGTTGCCGTCCTCTTCCAAGCCACAAAACTGCGGGGCTTATGTAACTTGGGTGAGCAAATAAATTAGCGATGACCGCATTGACCAGCAGATTGTCATGCACCATTCACGTTGGATTTCATGCCGTGATTGAATGGATTATGGAACAGGATTTTAGCATGTCTGAGCAAGAATAGGTAGATAAGGAGGACGAGTCCTCCAGAGGGGGGATGGGACGGGGCGGTACTCGAAATCCAGTGAGTTAGATGGACTGGTGGGTTAGGGCTCAATGTTCGGCCCTGTCTACGAATCCTACTCTAGGTCTGGTGAAGGAGCAGTGAAAAGAGTTTAGCCAGTCGTATTGTGTGCGGTCGACTCAGGTAGGACACTGGGCTTGGGGGGCCATTCAACACCCGGCGCTTCCTTACAGCCATTCAAGCCTTGCCATCACATCCCTGTTCCCACTTTTCTCCGTCAGTTCCCCCTCATCGGACCCCCCAGTAGTTAGTTCTTCTGGTGGTAAAAACCTATAAGGTTTATTGAAGAGCCTGAGACACCAGGAACATTCTTCAACACGCCGCTGTCAGATCTCGATCCGTGATGTAGTCGTATTTCTGATCATCAACACACTTTCACAAGCCCAAGGCATCGTGCCTCGTGCCTTATGGTGGTACTGACATATGTGACTCTGATCCATTCTCGCTAGGGCCCATCGGGCCATCACGCGGGGCGGCGAACTAAGCGGCTAGGACTTCCTGAATTTGAGGCGGAAGGCGGAGGAGGCAATGTGCATGCTGTTGCGGTGAGATGCTTGGTAACAGGCAATTCGCTTTAAATAAATCCACCAGGCTAACCTTCGACTCTTTGCCATATGATGTTGCTCGTGCACTGATCATTTGATTGATGGAAAGAATTGAACTCGCTCCACGCTCTCAGGCCATGATGGTACTTCTTCTCATAGAACCCGTCCTGCGCATATAATAGGTGCGCCAGCAAGACAGCGAACCATTAGCTTTGATGATGCGGATGACCCACTCTTCGTATGACGAGAAACCGGCGATTGGTGAGAGAGAGATGCATAGGCGTATTTGAAGCTGACCAACAGGGTAGACTTCCATCAGCGACCGTCGGCTTGAGACAACCAAGCCAAGGCCTGATCAATCATGTTGCAGTCCCAGGTGACAACAACGCAGAGTTGCGAAATGGAGCCTAACGTAGTAGAAGGAAGTATCCTGGACCACACCGACTCCTAAGCCGTCGGCAGGAGGAAGCCACCCGTTGCAAAGAGCCACATGTGCTGCTACTGCTGTCGTGCATATGCTTAAGCGCTTTGAAACATTGGTCCAATCAATTTTGACAGGATCTTGCATTAACTACTCTAGTACGGGCTACGGGTGGCTCGAACTCATTCCTTGTATCAGAGGGCCGACCAAGTCCAACGTGGTACGACAATATACCATGTCGATTGTTGGTATCATACTACAACCCGTGAGTGCCCTGACGTATTCCTTTGGTTGCAGATCTTGAGAGTGGTGGTGGTGTGGTGGTGGTGGTGGTGGTGGTGGTGGTGGAAGAGAACCCCTCCCCACAACTTACAATCGAAACCCCCGCACCATATTCTCAGTCAGCTGAATGTCAGCCACACTGGGCCATCTATTGCTTTGCTCACCTCAAAGGTCAGATATCACCTAAACCTGTGATACCCCCTGTTCTACCACCTGTTCAAGCCAGGCGCAGCTGTTCACCGAACGTGCAACGTGACGGCGTGCTGGAAGATGGGCTACCCTGCTCATGGAAATAGACGCCCCAAAGGAGCCGTAAGCCATAAGCCGTAACCCGTAACCCGTAGTTACCAGTAAACCCTAATGCATTCTTGCTCAGTTGTAATTGGATACAACGCGGATGAAGCAGCCGAACCCCACACGGATGCACATTGCAGATATCCGTCCTGTAGCATCTGAAACCAAGGGACATCTATGTGGAACTGCCTCTAATTCCCAATCCATATTGACGGATATGCAAACGAGGAGATCGTACACCACTCACCTTGCACAGAGCCCAAGATATTGAAATGTACTCCGTACTGCGACCAGTAAATAAGCACCTATCCATCTTGTGTCCAACTTCTTTCTAATACGTTCCCTTCGTCGGAGCCGTAACTAACCAATATCAAGTCTTCGTAATTATCTGCTTGTTGCTTTATCTCGTGATCTGAACTGCAACGCTCTACTTCAGCTTCGAGGTAGCAAGCAGCTTCAGTGTCCTAGCGTAGTTCAATGAGTGTCTTCACGCTTACGTCTACCAGTTTAAGAGATGTGCTGAGGAGGAGCAGATATCGATGAAATTAACTGCAAGGACACAAGGGAAGGCTGCGTTTGAACCATTCGCAGGTTTTGGCCCTGGTAGCTAGATTGTAGGGTAGACGCTGCTAGGAGCATACTATAATCCCAAGTTGCGAAATGATGTTTCTAGGCCGAAACACAACTTGAAGTGCTCGAAGTCCGGTAGAATCTGCTTTGATATCAGTGTAAAAATGTCCTCGGATACTACGATGTCTCCTTGCCACACCAAGCAATAGCTCTCAGGCAGAGTGTCAGTCCTAAGATAACAGTAGATAAATACTCAAGTCACTTCTTCATCAGGACGAGGGACAAAGACTGCAGTCGCCCGGACTCCGGAACCATGAATCCTCCCAATGGCTCGACAGATGCGGCATTCCGTGGCGAATGCTGTTTTCGTCAAAAGCGCTGTGCACACCTTAGAAAAAGGTGTCTGATTATTAGATCCCGCCAGACTTTGCATCCAAAATACTGGGCTGAGATAACACTTTCGTTGAGCGATAGCCGCAAGTTGAAGCATGATATGTACCACTTGGTGCAAAGGCATCCACTGGCATCTCTATTGTCAACTGTGGCAAGCTATATCAGCTGACATACCCTCGTGACGACTGCAAGAATTGGGAGTTTTGAAAATAAGCATCATGCAATGAGGCGTATCTGTCGAGTCCATATTCCTACTGCAGCGTAGTTGCTGCCCTGATATTGTGCCTTGCCGCATCTGCTGTCTTGGAGTTATCGTGCGCGAGACTATGAAGTCCTGGAGTCCGCTGCCACTCTATGGTAAGTCAGAAGTATCTCACCCACAAGGCAGGGTCATGACGATCTAGAGATCTTCATGCAGTTCAGAGGTGTAGCCATAATAGTTTGAGAGCTGAGCGAGAAAGTTTCAAGTTTGTAACTTTATCTTATTATGTAAGCAAGGCCTTGGCGGCTTAAGTTCAACTTCGCTCCTCCTCGCGCTGTTCTTGCTACATCCACCCAACTGCATCCTGTTGCTTACGCTGACCTCGAATCAGCCTTCATTCGCTCAGCTCTGGCAAATCACCCCAGAAGCCCCCCAAACTTGTCGAGCTCAGATACGACTGCGCTCGATCATTGCAGTCTCGCCTCCAGCTCTCCACCACTTCTTCTGTGTTCTCGGATGTTGCATGCTTGGTCTTCCTCTTCCTCTCCTTTGTGCATAGTACACATAGGCAGTCCTTCTTCTTATCGCCTTCAGCCAGCCACAACAAGTGCTGAGCAAACTCCTCTGGTGTCCGAAAGAGAGCTTCAGAACCAGATTCCATGGGATGGCCGACCACATACAGGTCGCTTGCTTTGTTGCGTGCAACCTTGCCTCTTACTCGTTCAAATATCTCGTACCCGAAAAGAACCTCTGGTACCGCGTCCCAAAAACCATCATAGATTTTGTTTCCGCCACTCGAGATGCCAGCTTTGGCAGCAAGTATGCTCCCCAACTTGCACAGGTAGGCTTTGCGTGCTTCTGACCCATCAGGAAGACGAATGTCTTTGTCGACATTTGGAAGATATCCAATCTTATGGATGCCGTCGCTTCGTGTTATGAGCAGAAGGTTTGTATCTTTTGTTGTTCCGTCTTCCTTAACCGACTGGCGTACCTTGATGCGTGGTAGGGTGATTGAAAAGAGGTAGGGAAGGAGTTTTCTCCATTGTTTGCTCTCCACAAGAGTGTCCTGGTCTGTGTCTGTGCTGCCACTTCTTGTACTGGACATCGTAAATGGACTGACTTTGTTCTCACGAGCTGTGACAGATTCCCATTTGAAAGTCGATAATGTGCTGCTGCAGTGGATCAAAAGCTGTCATGAACTAATATTGCGAAATGATAAGTTTGCGGTGAAGAAGTGTTCTATTGCTCCAGTCCTTGCCGAAACTAGTCGACCACTGAGGTCAGTATGTTGCCAGCACTGGCTCACCTAGACACGTTTATTTGCATCTGCAAAAGCGTTGCTAGGCAGCGATGTCAACTGTCCTAAAATGATAACATGAGGAGAAGAAGACCATGAAAGTGTTATGGGCATATGTATCTGCTATGAATTGGCGTCCGCGGACCAGGCCCACTTATGCTCATCCCATGAGTAAATCACAAACCCGTATTGCTAATTCTAACTTGCCCATTGAGCATCAAAGGCTACCACTACATCAACTTCTGCATATGCATACTTCGAGAAAGCAAGCTTCTCTCGTACCTAATAATCACACTTCTTGTTGCACCACGAAGGTGCTATCACATATTCACCTTGTGTAGCGATTCTTTCCATTCAGACACCACTATAGAGCATACTTTAGACAACTTGTATGTAGCCAAGAGAAAGCATAGCCGCTTATCAAGCATCAGCAAGAGACATTCCACAATAAACAACGGGAAGATCTGCCCCAGCCGAAATAAGACACAATTCTTCCCTTAAGCCTGGCCAGCAGATTCCCAAAGCAAGGTTCCCAAGCTAATTTCCCCTCATGTCCCTGCAGCACAGTGTCAATTTATCACTAGGATACTCAGGTGCAAGTAGCACTTCCTACCTATAACTTCCCATGACAGCCGCTCCCCATTGCACCACACAATCCCCACACAATCCGCCCTTGCCGCCACTCATTCCAGCGATGGTATCGTTATATATGATATTGAACGCTCCACAAGGCTCGCCACGTAGGCGCTTTGGGCAAGATATAAATTGACCCTTGGTCACGGTGTATGGATCGTGGCAGTGGGAGCACAGCTTGCGGTTGTACCATTGATCACACATCGTGGTCGAGGATCGATGTGGATGAGGACGTTGGTAATGGTCAACTTCGAGTATTTGCTGTTACGTGGATAGTACCCCTGCTCAGAGACTTTGGTGGAAGGAACTTTGGTGCAGATGGGTCTTCTGAAATCCCTTTATAGATAACTATGGTAAGCCGGTTGTTTGCAGATGACGACGACCTATGAATACAATGACTGTGAGTATAGAGGTGCACATGCGTGTGCGGCCAAACCAAATGGCTGACGCTCGGTGGCGCCATTGTCACATCGTGGTCTTGGTTTCCTTTCCTGGCGCAGACCTTGAAGCTTTACAAAGGACTCGACTGACATGCCGTTCGAGGACTATGCAAACGACTGACGGCTAGCAGGCTCAATCAGGGCTTCAATGATATATGAACCAGTCAGCAGCCATGACGAGGACTTCTGTTGCTTCGGCGGTGGTGTGACAATACCACCATGCGATAGCATCCTTCAACGGTCTGTTGTTCTCAAGGTTCTCCCACCGTCAAAAGGGCTCATGCCCAGAGAATTACAGCCTGCACAATCACCATGTGGACTACCGCGGCCACTTTCTTGATCCATCAGAATTTCGAATCTCCAACTTTGAAAGTTTATAGACTCTTTAGTACAAAGATACCCAATATCCAAAAGAGAAGAGGTTGGTATCTTTCTAATCAAGCTAGTACAATGTCAGGCGCTTGCCTGCTCGAGGAACTATGCGGATTCTCACTCAGGAGTATTCGGCAGATGGTCACCTTGTACAAAAGTGCTATCTCTATGCCATCCACATTTTTGATCGAAGCGAGATCTCAAGCAAACGGGCACTGCCGAGCATGGCACGATTTCTACAGTACACACCCATCCTCTACCACGAATTATAACGGGGATCAGGCAAGCCCCCGTCTCTAAGCCTCTGCTTTCATTCACCCTGTCCTTGATGATGATACAAGTAGCAGAGATACCTCCTTCGTGATCGATCCAGTCCCTTTCCATTCCGCCACAAATCTTCACCGTTCCTGCGCTAGTCACAGACTTACAACTCTGCTTGCGTCTATGTATAGCGCTTATCACAGGCATTACAGCTGCTGCTGATCCACCACTGAGTACACATTTTGGCGATTTCTTTGGGAAAGCGTCTGATGTTGGTGAAGTACTGCGCCAACGTCTGCCTTCGGTATACCCCAGTGCTGCAATGGTCTAATCAGCAGCAGGAGCTCTGAAGAGTGATTCGTGTGGCTCACTATACTGTGCCGATAGACAAATGGCACGATGGATGTCTTTGGAGCTATTGTCGCTTCTATATTATCGACAGATGAATGTGTTGCCGCAATGGGAAGCATACTTTTATAGAGCACCCACATATTGACATTTACAGCTCTAAAGAGAGTAGCATGATCCAAGCTTCGGTGAACCTTAGGTATCTTGCAACTTTTGGAAAAGGCTGCAGGGAGTTTGACGCTGCAAATTTACAACAACACCGAGGTTTTGCGATGCTATTGCAGGAATCCATCTCTCCACGAAACATTTCAGATAGAGTCCGGCATGGAATGTGTGCACCATACATATGTTCCATATTCTGCTGTTTGATCCTTGAACACCAAGAGCTCGTATCAGATTTTCTCGCAACAGGTGGCTATCACGGATGAGGTTGATATGATGAGGAATCTCGTCAGCAATGCTGTAGGGAACCTCGAGAAGCGGCTTACCGTCCTGGGAGTCCTTAATGCTTGCTGGCTATGAGAACAGCCGCCCAGGCACGACGTATAACTATTGGAACACCTTCAGCCTTGGGTTTCGACCAGAATAGAATTATCCAGCTTGAGTTCAAGCATGTTTGTGCTTTTTTGTGGAACTGGTTTTTGATAGAGAAGTCATATTAGCTCATATGTTTCCTGTAAGCAGGCCCATCAGTAACAATTCGCGTTAGAGACGCTAGGTGTGAATATCTTTTAATATACCCTTCCCGACTTGTATTGAAGAACGACTTCTATCATCCCCATGTGGTACGAACTAGCCAGAGCAAAAGGGAGATCCTGTCATGCAATGTCATGTGATGTCATCATACTACCGGGGGCAACCGGGACCACAGTTTTGACCGCGATTTAGCCGGAAATGAATCAACAACTTACCAACCCACTTCTACGCGGATTTATTATATCAACTCAACAGAATGAGCCCTTCTACTACTCTTACAAAGACCCTTAAGCGCAAGCAGCCGATGCTGTCAAAATTCCTGATTTTTTGAAAACTACGACCCAAGAACGCGCTCGATAATCTTGAACAGCTCAAAGAGGTGTTGCAAGACGGATGGAGCAAGATTACTATACAGGAAGTTCGAGAGCTATCGCCGAGATGCCCCTCTCGATGTAGAAAGCTAGTAGATACGGGTGAAGAGGCCATCAGAACCTCATTGTGGTGATAATGATAATGAATTAGGTAATTAGTAGCCTATTTCAGTTAGTGAGGGGTACATCAATTAAGTGTGGTTCGAAACCCATCAGCGCTGTCCTTTTGGCGGAGTGGTTGATGTATCCTTTTCTATTTCGGCGAAATCTCGGTCAAAATTGTGGTCATGCAACCCCTGGTGACTGTGAGGTCATAGCGTTGAATTAGTGGGACAAGGGACAGTTTAAGAGGCGCGTTTTTAACCAATATCACTGAGGCCAGCCTAACAATATTTCAAGGCCCCCTGTAGTACGTCGGCAGTACCCCAATCCCGCTGGCGGCGCGTTGATTAGCTTCACGGTTGCCTGTCCAACCTTGCGGCCGTTGGATATCATCACGCGTTGTCACAGTGGGGACTTTTCTCAGGCACCAACTGCGTCAGGCCAAGTAACTGCGTCAGACCCAATATTACGTGTCGCTGTCGAGTGGGTTGGGATGCGTAGTAGAGACTTGATCCAGCCATGTGCCGGTAGATATGAGACTGTACGGAGTAGTTCCTACCATGTTTGCCGAGGAGCGAGAAGGGCCCATTGACCAATCGTCCCAAGGATGCGTAGACCGCTCTTTTCCATTGGTAGAGCTTCTCGCCTACTGTTATTCGTTCGGCCTGCAGAGGAGGGCCCAATGTATGTGTATTGGTTAATGGTAGGATTTGTTTTTGCACTGGTTAGGGCTGTTGTGGTCTGCTTGGGTCATCAACAACGGGTATAGCATAGGCACATCGTCCTCTTGTCAAAGTCTCTATTGCTATTTAGACTTTCCATGTAAAATCGAGTTGACAGGTCGAAGAGAATCACGGTTGTGTCCATGAGCCTGGTACTCTACCCCGACTGTGGGTTAATTTCCTAGTGCCGCCCGGGTTGGAGGCGCCAAAGAATTCCCAAACAACCTCGTTTCGCTTCAGAATTTTCTGTCACTCCTTTTGGTTGCACTTAGATTTTCAATCGATTCATACTTGATCCGAAATCCCCTGCGAGGCAGTTTGGCCAAACGCTATCAGTCTTGTCATACCAATCATCTCTGGCAATACTGAGGGCCGCGAGCGCAGGCTAGCCTCGATCGAACATGAATCGTCCTCTCTCCCAACGCCTAAAGATCCTACAGACAACATTATAGCCCACTGAATATCTCCTGACCGTCGTCCGCGTTTGCTGCTGCTCTGGGGAAAGCGACACTCTCCGTCGATGGATCCGCCTCCACCGCCTCCCCCGCCTCCCCCTCACGGTAGCAATCCGAATGCTAGGTCTGGCGGCTTGCCTCCTGGAAACTACGATATCTTTGTTATTCCTCCACATTCTTCAGGCTCAGGCTTCCTATACCTCCCGTCACTTCAGACTCACCGAAACAGCTTCCTAGCAGGAGTGGCATGCACTGCGACTGCTTTCGTAGTATGGTCCGTGGTAGTGCCGGTCGTCAAGGAGTGGTTCAACACCTTGGTAAATGGTGGAGGTCCAGGTGTCTTGGTGTTGGTTGTAAGTGTTGGTATTGGCGCTTGGGCTTTTGGCAAAACCCAAGCAGAAGGATCAAGCCCTGGAGGACCTACGCCTGGTGCGACACCTGGGGCTGGTGCGGCCGGGGCTTGCCAGGGCCAGCGCCGGCAAGCGGGTCAACGCATGCGCCTCCTAATCCCTCAGCTGGTGCTCCTCCTCCACCTCCACCTCCACATCCACCACCTCCTCCTAGATCATCATGGCATAGACCAAACCCACAAACAGCTGGCGCAAGCTCTGCTGCAAAGAACAGCTGGGAGAAGGCCAGAGAAGAGACTCGAAAGAAGGAGGAAGAACGTAAAAGGGCGGAAGAAGCAAAGAGACGCAGAGAGGAAGCCGAGAAGGAGCGGCAGAGACAAAGAGCAAAGGATGCAAGGGAGCGTTTGGAGCGCGAAAAGAAGAGGAAGGCTGAGGAAACTGAGAAGGCAGAACAAGCGAGAAAAGAGCAAGAAGCAGCCGCTGCCGTTGCCGCTGCAAAGGCAAAGGAGAAAGAGGAAGAAAGGGAGAGGGAGAGGGAGAAAGAAAGGGAGAGGGAGAAGGAGAAAGAAAGGGAGAGGGAGAGGGAGAAAGAAAGGGAAAGGGAGAAGGAGAGAGAAAGGGAGAGGGAGAAGGAGAAAGAAAGGGAGAGGGAGAAGGAGAGAGAGAAGCAGAGGGAGAGAGAGAAGGAGAGGCAGAGACAGAGGGAAAAAGAGAGGGAGAAGCCAGCTCCGGACAAACCACCATATCCAACTGCGAGAACGGAGACCGAGGATGATGCGTACTCTTTCAGACCTTACGATCGACCAAAAAGACATGTGCCAAAAGCGGGCTCAACAGCGTCAACATATTCAGAATCTTCATATGCTCCTTCACAGTCCACAGCACGCACTACACCACCTCCGTCGCATCGAGGACCCTACTCGACAAAGGATCCCGACAAAATCATCATCAAAGCTGTATACTCTTTCAATAATACATTTCAGCGCACCCCTGTCGCCCAACTGATCTCAGGTCAAGGAAACGTGACTGACGGACTTATTCTTCGAATCACAACTGAAGGACTTTTCATCGATGATGACATTCGAGACGTACCTCAACGAGAATGGGATGTGAAGGCTTGGACGATGAAAATGGCAGAGGTATGGTGTCCCAGTTTCATACAAGGCTCAACTTCTCTCCCCCCGGGACAAACCCGGTCCCTTTCTTATCTCCTAGGAGTGTGAATGGAGCGGCTTCCCGGCACTTCCCGAATGATGTACAATCGAAACAGTGTTTGAAAGGGCTGTCTGAAGCTTGTACCCAGCATTGCAAGTATTCTCATCTCCCTAAAGGAAGTGTATCGTCTGTCTTTGGGTCTTCTGCCACCTCGTCTCGTTCACCGCGTTGTTATGCGTCTAGTACTTCCATCTGTACCACAGAAACCACCTCAAGCAGTGATACTGATGACACCTTGAAACAGAGCGGCGAAATGTCCGGCCTCCACGTCCTTCGAGCCAGCATCCGTGATCAAGAAGGCAAGAAGTATGTCTTCATCCTCTCGCAGACAGAAGGCTGGAAAGTTGCTGTCGGCCTACAACGATTGCGGCGAGGAACTCAAGTCCGAGCCTTGGGTGTTAGCGGTATGCCAGCGAATGAGACCAAAGCATTGATTGAGAATTTGGGCTGGGCTTGAGAAGTTGTTGTAGCACTTTGGTGTTCTGGAATGTGGAATGTGCATGTTGCTACGGCATTCGGAAGGTGTGGCAGCGTCTCTACTCATCATCATCATCACCATCAGCGAGGGAGTTCAAATGTACATTCATGTTTGGTTTTTCAAAGACGAGGAAGACATTCACATTCGTCCAAACCCCATTTGCAGGCGGGTTCACCGGGGACGCCAGCGAGCTGAAGGTGTTTTAGTGAATGGACTTCGCTTTTCAGTGCGCCCTATACGCACCATCCATGCTGTGGAGATGCTACGGGGAGATTATGTGCATAGGTCTTCCGTCCAACAGCCAGCTAGTATCTCTGCAGCCGCATCATCTTCTGTGTGAGAACCTGCTGCCGCCTTGTGCTCGACTGCTGCACACCCACCATTACATGAGTACCGTGAAAACCTCGTCGAGGCTCAGTTTGCCTTCTGCTCTGCCTTCTGCTATAACTACCGCCTCCAGAACGCTGTTAGTACCTAGTAATTCTGTACTTCGTTTTCCACGGCACCGTACACCACATACTGCAAGCCCGTGACTCCGGAGAGCTGTTCCCTTTCTCAACTGCAGTGGCTGGAAGGTTTCTCGACCAGTCAGTGCCGTCTCTGATAGCTCTCCCACTTCATTCGCCGATGAAGAAACGGGGTTGAACAGGGGTCGAACAGGGGTCAGCGGTAGTTGGTAGTTGGTAGTTAGTAGTGACTAGTTAGACCAGCAATTGAGACTTTTTCTTCTCTCAGCCTACCGCGATTGATCCGGCGCATTGCTAAGTCCTCAGCTTCGTTGAAGCGGAGCTGTAAGTGTGACTAAGCTTCTTGCATGTCGGGGATAGCTGCCATTATGGGGGGGTTTTGGCGTGTTGGCTCCAGGTTTGCTAGGTTACTACGGAGTTACAGTAGGTAGGAGGCATACCGAATGTAAGCGCGCCCCCAGTAAAATTGTTATTAACGACCCTCATACTGATACCCCTGTCGCTCCCGTACGAATGACGTATCCCCTTGTAGGGGGTTATTCAACGCGTTCAACGCGTTCAGTGAGCTGCGAGAGGGTATAACAGCTGCCTGGAAACGGCGTGCCTGCAGTCTATCTCCTAGAGCTGCTCGAATCAATGCCAGCAAGGTGTCAGGCAGTGGTTGATGCCAGGGGAATGCACATTCGATACCGAGTATAATAGGCTAGTCCTAATCGAGCGATTTTGTGACCTTCTATCTTGGCGTTACAAGCTGTTACTAGTTAGAACGCACTTACATTCATTTATGCCTCCTATTGTAGTAGTTAGTAGTTAAAGGTTCCGCCACCGGGATGTCAACCCCCGACTTCGGCTTGAATGGGATGGCAAGAAAGATCCCCAAGGAAAAGAACTCCGTGACTCGCGTGCTTGGACCACATTTTGACATGCATCAGCTTGTCAAGCATTTTCTCACACATGTTAGATAAAAACGACGCACTACCGTAGTTAACAGATTAGCCTAATCTCAGCTACCTGACGTAATTGTGCAACCCAGTCTGTATCTGTGGCCTAGCAATTCCTCAAGGTTGGCGTCGAACATTCAATCTCCATCTGTTAGTTCCATAAACAATTCTGTCGGACACTTCTTCTCTATTTCGCCATGACTAGGCGTGAGCTTGCCGCCTCTACTGAGGATGTAGAGAGCCAGAGCAGAGACGCCGAGGTGTCTGATGGCTTTTCCGAGCTATCTTCTACCTTGCCAACATACGAGGAAGTCGTCCTGGACACGCCAGCTTTGCGTTCAGAGGACTCAAAGGGTGATAATGGCAAGATGGTGAGTCAACGTGAAGGCTCTCCGGCCGTGGTATGAGAAGCCTCGTTTCTTGTAGCCGAGAGGCTGTTGCGCTTTCTGTCCTGCTGATTGCGATACGCATTAGCCAGAGGAGGAGCAGCCATTATTGACTGGTGGAAGTGAGGACGGAGATGGCAGCCCCAAACAGGAGGGTCAGACAAAATCTACCCTAAAGCGCTACTTTTGGATTATGGCAGTGGTTGTGCTTTGGAATATTGCGGCCCGCTCATTCCATCTGTTCCCAGCCAGTGGGGTACGTGCCTGCTGAGTGCCCTCAGAACTTATTGCGTCCCTCAATTTGCCTTCACTGCCTGTTTCGAGGGCTTGTATGCATAACCCATCTCGACTGACACCTTACATTATAGAAGCACACACCTCCACCGTCGGAGCCAGAATCCGCCGACCCACCCTGGCCTTCTCCCCGCGAGATTCGCGTGCACGAAACGACCAACGCAATTCATGGCTCCTACCCTCTCTACGATCTCCTCGAGCTTACCACCACCACAGGGCAGATATATGCCACAATCGAGCCCAAGGCTGGCAATAAGACCGCTGTGGTCAACATCCGGTCTAAGACGGGAGCGATCTATGTGCGCTTCGCGAAATCAGCCTTCACCAATGCCGACGAGAAGGGTGTGCTGGAGCGTGTGTACAGGACGCAGATGGACACAACGACTGGGCAGATCCACGGCGAAGTCTTCCATGGAGGTGCTGGAGGTGAGACAGTCCTTACGACCAAGACTGGCATGCTCGATCTGCGGGTCATACCCATTGGAGATCAAGCATCTAGGTTAGAAACGACCACGGTGACGGGACTTAACAGGGTCACTGTCGAAGCTCCGATGCAGGGCACGACGTTGAAGAATCTCACCGCGATCCATAGGACCATGTCTACTGGCCAGCTGGACATAAATTACCCGCGAATGTGGGAGGGACGTCTGCACGCTTGGTGCGGGGGCACAGGCCATGTCGATGTCCGCGGTGAGGGGCTCAATATGCAAGGCGGCGGAAAGAACGTGTACGCCTGGAGAGGGGAGGATGCTGTAAAGAATGGGAGGATCATTGAGGTTGTGAGTGAGGGAACTGGGATGGTGAGGTTCAAGGCATAGGTAAGGGTAGGTCGTTTTCGGTCTCCGAGTACCAATGGGGCTCCGTAGCATCCGAGCTGTTGTGGTACAATCCCATGGTTCCGCAGGGGGCCAGTAGGACACGGGGCCCAATCAGGATGCAGTACCACCCCCTTCCCATCTTCCTTACCTTTTTGGTCCACTTCTCAATCACTTATCCTCTAATCATAACGTTCTTTTGGATGCCTCTACGTGCGCCAATTTGTTTTCAGGAATTGTCTCGTGTAAAACCAACGCGCCAATCTATGGGTGAAGATGGTAGTAAGATGGAACTTCTCCCCTTCGAGCTTCAAGATAGTATTCTTCGCGATCTCGGATCCATCACCGACATCAAAGCAACTCGTTTGCTCAACAGACACTTTCATGAGCTAGCCACACCGCATCTCTTTTGTCGCATCTTTCTCACGGTCCAAACCGACAGCTTCGAACGGTTGAATCAGATTTGCAGCTCTACGCTCTCGCAGCATGTCCGCTGCCTACACTACAACATCTGGGAAGCTCCCCTTATTCTCGAACGCGAGTGGAACCAAGGCCTAGCGAGGTTGGCATGGAAGGGCAAGCATATTCAACTTGGGCGCCTCCCGAAATATCAGGAGTATCACGACTCCTTCAGCAGCCAGGTGCATCACAACGAACACGGCTTACTCGTGAAGGCTTTCCGACGTCTTCCAGCACTTCAGAGCCTAGAGATCTCAGAACGCGAACCCTCAGGCCTCCCCTTGGAGGCCGGACAGCATATGGACCTGGCCCACGTCGCCACCGCCGTCAGCTGCTCGCGTGATGACATCCCGAGCGACCGTGCCTCAGCCATGTCAGGAGAGGTGTCACGGGCTCTCACCGTGATTCTGGCGCACGGCGAAGCCTCGAACGCGTCTCTCGACTCTCTCAGCTTGCAGGGGTTCCGATGGCCTTGGCTGGATATGCGCGATGTGAGGATGTGGCACGGAGAGTCAATCCTGAACGCTGCCTTGAAGAATCTGCGATGGTTGCGCATCTCGGTTGCCGAGTCTGGGTCGGGGGCGAACGGCATCTTGGCGGATATTCCGGATCCCGCCGCTGCGGTGGAGGTTTGGAAGGGACTTGTCGGACGGGCGGAAGGTTTAGAGAGGATTGAAGTCTCTGTAGAGTAGAAGATTGCATGATTATGGCCTAGACCTTAATCTGAGCTATTTTGGTTCTTCGTTACTGTATGTGACTGTTCTGTTGGGATTCTTTTAGGCTAGTTGAGCGTGGATTCATCATCTGAAAACACCGAAAGATGAGATGGATCGCCAGGTATCGCGGCTCACAGGGTGTGCGGCAGCGGATGGTCTCATGCAGTGCTGCTCGAGAGTATTTGCTGCGAAGCATCCTAAAAGCTCATTGAGGACCAGCGACTCCATTTGCCCGATTATATAAGCCGACTCAATGGGAAATAGCTACCTCACGCTGCATTTCTTCATCGGATTCAAGAGTCCGGATCAATGGATATGAAGATATGCCCAACGAAGTGTTCCGTAGCCCAGTGACACAACTCGCTATGGGAATTTTGACAATCGAGCTTCAGCAACTGATCTCTGAAAGTCTTCATGCAACGACCTAAGATCTGTCCGGTTAATTAGCAAATACTCAGGGACCTGATTTCCCCCTTTTCTTTCAGAAGGAATCACAGTTATGACATGCTCGGAAAATCTTGACAGATTGCTCTTGCTGTGCCATTCACAAGTGGCAAAGTCGGCTCAATGTATACCTTAAGATGTGCTGGCCTTGCCTCTTATCTATCAGGCAGAGTGGGACGCAGCTCTCCTTTCATCGCAGCGCATCGAGACAAAGGATTACTTTGACGACGCTTTCGCCTCCCACGAAAGAATACAAGAGCTATTATCTTAGTCCTGATTTGGGGTTCTTTATTCTGATTGGATACTTACCCCTTGTTTATATCTGTGGTCTTATGAATGTAATCAGTTTTCACGCAATGTGCTGTCAAGACCTCGTTTAAGAATCCCAGACCTCAGAATGTATCATTTCTAGGAAATGGAACTCTTAGTCTCTTGGTAACACATCCATTCTTTGGTAGGTTATCTCGTTTAATGTTGTATCTGGCTTGTAAGAGCCATGGAGGGGATATGGATGATAGGGGTCTCGGCACCTAATAATCATAGAACTGATGCAATGATTCAATGTAGAGAACGAATGCCATTTTGCGATCGCAGGCTCCTGAGTAGCACCCAGGCTTATGATGGCCGTCGGTTCTAACGGATGCCTACTGGGTGCTGAGATATCGACTAGATACACCCGGGAAATATCATGAGATGAGAGACACGACATCTATTTCCCATTGAAAATATTGGAGTGCGGGCTTTCCCACCGAAATCACCAGCGCAGGTCCATGTCATCTTGCCACTCTCCATTGTGGAGGGTCTGCTCAACTCCGTACATGTCTTCATCCTGCGGACTCTCTTCGGTGATTCCCGAATCCTCCACATCGCCCATCTCTTTATTGGTCTCTGCTACCCCTTGAGAATAGGTGTCAAAATAATATTACCACCAGTCTCTGTCGGGTAAGTTTAAGAATGTTGAGCGGGACCAGTCTTCCATATTCGAAAAATAGAAAGCACATGCAGTATCCGGATCCAGACATTCACGATATTCCGATATGAATGTCCCACAACGGCAGCACGGATTCATCATGTTGTCTTTGACCAACGGGAAATCCGGTGGACAGCCTTTTACCAAGCTCTCAAGCATACCTTCCAAGTTGATGTTGGCCGACAACCAAGGGTCACCCACATGAAGTCGCCTGTATGTGACAAGCTCGGTGTTTATGGCTGACCATAATTTTCCCAGCCTTCCAGTATTCGCATTGAAGATTTTGTGATCGTCGTGTTTATAGTAGTCGCAGAAATAGAGGTCAGCGTCCCCTTCTTCTAAGGGAGCCCACTCATCCTCCTCTCTTGAAAGTAATATTTGCTGCGAGTACAGCAAAATCTCAGAAAATGTTTGCCAGCCAAGTCTAACTTTCTCGGTCCATTCTGTGCACTTAAGAGAATAAATCGCATTTGCGAGCTCTAAAGGGTCGAGCGGCTTATGCTCACACGGATCCGCTTCGTTATTAGAATTTTCTGATGGACTGTTACCAAGGAGAGACATAATTGAAAGGGTTGACTGAAGACACGGGTCGGATCCATTGCGAAGTAGACATAAGAGAACCGCCACAGCGCCAAATAGATCTTCTCCCTCACATCCATAGCTAGAGAGCTGCCACATAATCAAGACTAAGGTATGAAGAGGGGTCATTTGCATCTTTAGACCACAATGGGACTTCAAGCATCGCTTTATAAAGAGACCGCTGTGCGTGTTGATGTCCGGCGCGTGTGTTGCACCCCAAATAGTCACGATAGAATGACAGATTGTCTGAACAGACGTGTGACAAAACTTGTGTTTCCATTGAAAAGGAATACGGTGGATGCCTTTTGCTAGAAGTTCTCGGATGCAGTCCGAATCAGCATCCCAGCGCCCACAGATGTCAACTTCTTCTCCGGAAAAGCGAACTTGCCCCTTAAAGGCGTTGTCGACCTGACCAGGGGTACAGGAGGTATGGCCTTTGAGGATGGTAATCATGAGATTGTCAAGGACAGTATGCCCCTGCTCATTGGTATAGTGTTGGCGGAGTGGACGGAACATGCTAATGGTGTTGAGTAGGTCACAGCAGATTGTCGAGCCTTTTAGATAACTTGTGGCAAGATGAAAGACATCAATTTCTCTAAAAGCGATTTCCAGGTGTGGGGCCGAGTACGACTCCAGTAATTTCTCGACCATAAATTCATTCCCGCTCATTATAGCGAAGCCTAGAGACTGTGCACTGAGCTCAGATGGATCCCTCTTGGCCATCTTCAGTGCTTCCGGTATGGCAGCAGGCAGTTGGTCGGTGGGAATATTGCTAAAGTCGTTGCTCTCGAGGGCATTCCTCAGCTTCTCCGAGTATGAGGAGGCCATCCATTGTTCGGGCCACGGTTGGTAGGTTTCAGGATCAGCTGGGTCCATGGCGCGATGCTCCAGTAATGGAGGATCGGGGAGCTCTTGATATGATTGGGGCTTTACATGAATTGCCCAACGACACAATAGGGAAGGCTTAGAGCCTACGCCAATATTGTTGAGGCCGCTTGCGACTGATGGTTGCCCCTGTGGTGATTGTCCAACTCTGTCAGACGGCGTATGGGGAGACGCCGGCACCGGAAAAATATCAGCCCCATCCCGCCCGAAAGCCAGGAGGTCTGCAAACCAGTCGCGGGGTCCCCGACCCCAGTACTTAGCAGTCTTGAACGAGAATACCCAGAACTGGTATAGCCAGGTGGACATAGTTCTGTGCTAGCGTCAGTACTACCCGACCTGATGGCACGTAATTCTTACACTTGTTCTTCAGTGCTCATCGATGCTAGCAATTGCTGATACTTGCCTTCAAGAAACAATTGGGCTCGTTCGACCGACCTTTTCTTCCGAAGAGCCGAGGACAAAGGAGAAAGAGCGTTATTAGGGCTAGCGACATCGTTCGCGTATGGCGTCGCAACAGACACGTCGCTTGGGGTTGACATAGACTGACCAAGTGGAGAGTGGTGGTCAATGATTTGGCCCATCAATGTCTTTGAAGGCTTATAAGGTATGTTCCACGTCATAAAGCTGCATGAAATTAGTAGGGATCCGAAGATATGGCCGGACGAGCGACCGAGGCTTACAGCTTAGCCACAGATGACGTTAGCGGGCTTAAAAAAGCAATATCGTCAGATCTAGTCGCTTGAGCTCCACCGCCTAGCAACGCCCTCCTGGTGTCCATTTTGGCTTGTCGACGTAATTTGCGTGGATCAACTTCTTGACCCTTGTACTTGATAACGGCAGCCATACCAGTGGTCGACAAATCCTGGTATTTCTGATTCATAGCAGCTTTCTTCGAAGTAGGAATATTCTTCCTCAAACGCCATTTTTTGATTTGGTATTTGTATTGAGCCTCGCTAGTGAAGAAACTGAATAAGCCGGGGTTCGCTGGCACCGATGAAGGCGGCAGACGAGCCTTTTATCAGACAAGCTGGGGATAGGGGACTTACGTGGCATCAAAGCCAAACTGCGCTTGCAGAATCTCAATCACCTTGGCCAATTTGTACTTGTCATGTACGTAGAGTCGTTCGATATGAGGCTTCAGAAACTCCCACTTGCGTTCAAACGACAGGCCTGGTGGCATTGTGGTCGCCTCAAAGGTTCCAAGATGATCCATGCCGATGTCTGACGGCAGAGTAAACCGAGATGCAACAAGCGAGGCACTGATCAGGACCAAAGAAGAGAAAAAGACAAATCACAATGTGCCGAGGGGTTGTTGAGAGCTCAATGGCGAAGTTTTGAGAGATGATGGGAGGGAAGCGGAAACTCGGCTCGGCGTTCTGTTAATGGGAAAGTCTGTAAGATTTGCCTTGCAGAGGTTGCCTCGTGCCAGTCTCCTCCCCCCTGTCCGCTGTCGGGAGATGCCAAGCTTGACAAACGAAGACTGACGACTGAGAGTCGGAAGACCATCAGGCATAGTGGAACGAAGGCATGGTGGTACGAAGCCGGGTGGTACGAAGGCGCCCTAACTGGACTAAGGGAAAGCTTATGCCAAAGCCAAGGCTCACAAAAAAGGGTGAAGGCTCAACCAGCAACACGGCTACGCTAGTACTAATACGTAGTACTGCACCCCTGCCGTTTGATGAATGATCCCACATCATACTACTGACTGCTAACACCGCTTCATATCATAAATCTAGCATGATTGATTCATATGCCTCCCCTCCCGCCTTTCGAATATCCCTGCTCCGGCCACTCGTCTCCTGTCGGGCCTCTCAAAATCACTCATTCCAGACGAGATCGGTACAGACCCCATGTTTTGTCAAGATGCACCAAGCATCTTACCTTTTGGTTGGCCGCCTCCAGCCAGTCCCGCCAATCCGATCCCATGGCCAAGCTTGACAAAGGGAGAAGGACCATTCATTCTCAGCAGGAGCTTTCCGAAGACAGGGAACGCCCAATCAGTGGACTCGATCCGTTGCAGTGATTTTAAGGCAATGCAGCTTGGCCCTGAACCCACAGACTTGCATCCTGTCAAAGCGGCTAGTCAAGCTGCTGGACGCTCATGACGGGAGATGCAGCTCCTACCTTTCCTCCATGTGCCCATGGTACGTTGGAAGGCAGAATCCTTTGTGAGCACGGCTTCTGTATAAAAGCTGGCACCCCTCCTCTCTCGATGATTCTGTGCCCATCCATTCTAGCAAAACATTGCCACCATTGACTGAAGCTAGTCTCTCCAAAAAGTCTGTTTCACAGTCTCTTCTTGCTTTCCGCATTTCGTATCCCATTCTTCCTTCCTGGGAACTGGACTTCACAATAGCGGCATGGCGACACATCAACGCAACGCTTCGTAAGAAAAGCTGGCTATCATCTTTGGGCGGTGCTGTGCTCATCTCCCCTGCTAGATCCACATCTGAGGATGTTCCCCATTCTCGACCAGTCGCCATTGCTGGCGTTCCCGGAGACGTGGTCAACCGCGATCGACTGTCCACCATTGGGATGCAAAACCACAACGGCCTTGGCACACAAATGCCACACCGCAGCCCTACTGAGCAAAACCAGGTCCCGTATGGAACAACAGGCTCGCCGCACAACATGACGAACCCACACCGGATTGAAAACCGTGCCCTCGACGGGATCGGGGCGCAATTCAAAGGCCACCAGCCTCTCCAGGACGGCCAACAGCTGATGGACCACATCACAAGGGACGCAGGCCAGCATCACGGCCATTCAGTCTCTTTACCTCGCTCGACAATGTCCCCTGGCGTTGTTCAAGACCCAAGGTATTCGAACTCGGGCCCGTTGACGCGATTTCTGCTGGAAACTTCAACACAGCAGCCCCCCTTCCTTGTTGATCGATCGAATGGTCAGCCATCATCCCGTGGAGGATACTGGCATCCCTCCTACCCTTCGAAAAAGTGATCCTGTCCTTGGAAAAGCTACCTCACCCCTTACCCCTCTTCCCCTTCCTAGTGGATAGTGTACCGCAATCGTCAATGGGGTTGGGTTGTCCCCAAGTGATAGAGAGGCTGGAGAATGGTGGCAAGCCGGGACGGTGCTGTTCCTAGCAGAGCTGCAGATGCTGTCACGCGTTTCTTCCGTATTGCTCTCCGATGTCAGTGCGCAGTTCATTGTACGTATGTCTTCATTGCCGGACACGCTGTTGTTGGAAAGGGAAACGCTTTCAAATTTTCTCTCTCATGTTTTCGACCGGTCTTTCATCAACATGACGATTCAATATGAACGAATTTCCTTACTCGTGCTTCATAGTTATGAAACGACTATGCTGCCAAATGAATTCTGCCTTTGATTCTTTACACCCAGAGCAAGCTCCGATTCCACTTAACCGTCATAGCTCGGAGCTCTTCTGCACAGTGTTTCCGAATCATATAGCCATAAGCTCCTCGAATAGCTTCAGTAGCTGAGTCCAAGTCCACATCGACGGTAACGAAGCCCACTGTCATCCTTAACCAGCCGGGGATTGGGACGATGGACTACACATACTACAGGGGGGCCCTGAAGTAATGGTAGACTGGTGTTATGAACAGCTAGTTCTTATTACAACAACATAGTGTTTAAGAATCTGCAGAAGGTTCGTAGAAAACAGAGACAGCGTACGGAGATACATGTACAAAATTAGCTGTACAGTACGGCGAAATCAGAAGCCGAAAATTGCAGGAAATATTGACCAATCAAAAGCAGACGAAAGACAAGGGTTAAGCGTAGAAAATCCAGCCAATGAGCACTCATGAAGTTCGACAACTGAATACGGAGTACTTGGGTGAGAATACACACAACAGTGTCCAATCAGACGCAGAGGACAATCGAGGAAGCCATGGACGGTCAGATGATGATATCTCGGAACGGAGAAATTACCGAGTACATGTATCGGAGCTGTGATGCTCACGGATCGTCTTGGACCATGGATCAGAGACCCTGTTAACATCCTTGATACTTATATAGAAGATCTCTTGTCTGCGCACTTGACTATTATGAACCGAAAGAACCATGGAGTATGACTACGAGTATATAACTTCGTCCCAAAGGTGGTTGGAGAATCTACCTTTCAATTCTTCCAATGTCCAGCCTTACGGTGCAGCCTTCCAATGTCCAGCCTTATAGTGTAGCCTTCTAATGTCTAGCCTTGCGGTACAGCCTTCCAATGTCCTTCAACATCTCTGTGAACTCGGGAATAGCTTCTTCATACGCCACTTTCTTCAAGTACTCCTTCGCAGGCATGCCTCCCATCACATGTGACGTCCACCCATCCTTTGCCCACTGCGGTCTCACATTCAACTTTTTGCCGTCTGCATCATCGTAGCTCATCCACAGGTCCGTGACTCTCCGGATGAAATCGATCCACTCCCCATCAGTGACACTGTCTGGAATAGAAAGCACCTCGATGCTCGCCGTACCGTGCTTATTGGCCCGTTGCGGCGCCAGAATCATATCTGAGTCAGCCATTATGCGGAGTTCTAGTGTTAGACGCCTGGCTGTCTCGCATTTGGAAGGGTCACCTGCTTCAGGTGACGAGTAAGAGTAAACAAGCTTGATGACATCCCACCATGCTCTCCTTACAATGGACCAATCCGGCTTCTCTGGATCATTCTTCGATGATGGGATTGGAATCTGGAACTCGATATCTCGAACTCTCATAATCTGGATACCACGGTGAAAATGTAGTGTCTCGGGAAGATAAGTTTTGATTTCCGGTTCCTTGTCCTCGGAAAACGTTGGTGGTAAGGAAGCCATACCAAGGGTCGCCAAAAACTGAGCTTGCCAATAACCGGGTATCGCCTTGAAAAATTTAGTGTTTGTCACGACCTGTGCCAGCTAGCCTTGAATCCACTGAAGCTAGGTTTCGAATGTAGAGGGGTACTCTGACACCTCAGCAGGTTGTTTGGGAGTCGTATTCCATGTATTGACCCAAGCAGTCTGCTGATATGTGAACCAAAACCATTCTGAGTAATAGTCATTCGCTGCCCGAGACTCAAAACCTCCGACAGCGGTGGATATTTCATCACTTGTCCATGTTTTGCCTCTCCGCAAAGCAGTTGGAATGTCTGTTTCCGACAAGGGCGGGGTGGCTAGGCGCATATATCCGGCTTGCGTGGCGCCATGATAGCATATAATATGTAGTCCAGCTCAAGCGTGATGTGTGTGATTATGCCTTGAAGGCCAAAACATCCAGCTGCCGCTCTGAGGTGGGTTGTGTTGGTGGTAACCTGGACCTTGCCATTAGGGTCGACGTATTCAATCATCCTGACTTGGTCTGAAATGGTCTTGTGGTGACAGCCAGCGCCATGGCAAACAGGGCCATTGACTCCACCAAATGTGACTTCCACGAGAATCACGTCCATCGGCAAGCTGCAGCTATTTTGTGCAATTGCTCATCTGAGGAACTCCTCGTTCGTAACGGCAACGCCTACGCGCACCATCTTCTTGCTGGCATCAGCCTGTACACCATCGGGTCAAGCTGGATCGTCTTCAGTTCGTTGTTTTTGAACGAGGCCGGAAAGGGGTCACCGTTCGATGGACCCGGAATATTTGTAACCTGGTGCAAATTCAGTAGCGAGACTACGATCTCTCGCTCTTCCGAGAATATCGGACTCTAACTGTGCCAGTAGCCGCTGCGGCGTACTCGCAGGTTGATCACCTTTGAGAAGAGGACAAGGTTTTGCAACCCCAAGACAGTGGTTAGCACAAATGTATACAGTGATACGTTCTGGACGGAGAGGCCCCAGTTATCGAATGGATGGGAAGAGCATACCTCCATGATTTTCGCCCGTGCCTTGTCTTCGTATATGATGGGGAGACCCTGAGCTTTCGCCAGGGCAGTTTTGTCGGTTTCTTCGCCCGGGTCAAATCGCTCCTGTAATGACTTGAGGAAGTCAAGTAGCCTGAAATGATGTTTTGCTGCAGGACTTGGTGCGGGATAGAAGAATTTTGCATGGCCTACCACATCTTCCGCTGACTTGCCTTCCATGAAGGCTTCTAGCTGGGATTTTGTACGGTCATTCAGCTCTTCAAACGCTTGCCTGAAGACAGCAGTGTGTCGGAATGCTCGAAGAAAGCCCCTTATCTGCGTCTCGGGTTCGAATTTGTGGTCTTGAACATTGACGAGCTGTTTGCGAAGCTCTGATATGTCGACCCTTCGAAAGTCTTCGACCAGCCCCTTGCCGTGGTCAATGATCTGAACTAAGATGAATCGATTATTGAGTTCTGTGGCATCAGGCTTTTTAATGTGGAGCGGCATTTTGATCGCCGAATATGAGAAAGACGACGCCAAAGAAACATTTGAGGAAACGGGAGCGGGGGGAGATATTAATCAAGTACGCGGTTTGACCTCGTTGAAACGATTACGGGAGCTGAGCTGAAAAGCACCCGGGATTGATTCGACAAACAAAATGACACTTCAGGCTTCGGGACTCCAGGCTTCTATGAGATGTTCGGACTTCCACAATTGGGCACTATGTACTATAGCCATGGGTGCGACAGGAACACTGTCGACGATGACATTCGATAGAGGAAGGTTGGCGACATGGGTTTCATCAACGATCTCCGACATGGCTGGAAAGAGCACAATTCGTCTCGGCACTTGGAGGATGGCGACTTCCAACCTGCAAGTGTTTCTCTATTGCATGGTGCTAGTAACGGAATATTTCATGGAGGTATCGCTTGGTGTTCAGCATCTGGAGAGCGTGGTTGCTGGCCCTAAGCATGAAAAGGTCAAGCTGTGTCCATTGAGGCGACTGCAGACGAAAGGACGGCAAGTGAAAGGAATTCGGACTCGTAGAAACAAAACGCATTTCGTTCCTGGTGGAAAGGCAATCCGAATTTGGTGGCCGCAGGCACACACGAGGCCCCTTTACGGGTTGATGAGACCAATTCTGGGCCAGAATCATGAATTCGATATGCGATGTGGTGAGCCCATGACGAGACTTGCCACTGAGACTGAGAGGGGTTGATCACAAATGTGGCCAGGAGCCATCACCATCAGTTTGTTTGTAGATGTCAGGAAATCGGTTCGATTGCTGGCCCGCATCAGCAATCACCCTTGGAGCCGGTAGAAGTGAGCAGATGCTATGTTTCAAAGAACCGCAATCAGTCACACAACCAGCGTGGCTCTTTGTCTCACTGTAGGCACGCTTATCCGGCATAATACGAGATTGTTCTGCGGATTTGAGATAAAGGCATTCTAAAGCAGCACATTCCCACCGAGCTCTGCGAACTAACCACCTTCTCAACAATTCGAACGAGGCTAGGAGCAACGGTAATGACGATCATCCGCGCTCCCGCATCCGGGCCTTTCACGGGACAGCGTCTCTCCCTCGCTGCGTGTCCCTGCTCTTACGGTCCTTGTAGAACCCTGACGCAATATAGATGGCAGCTATGCCGGCCACTCCAGCAGCTAAAGCGTCCTTGCCCTCAATGCGGCGTGATGCACGACGACTATCGGCGTTTTCTTCGTGGGCTGCCCGGTCTTCTCTCTGAGAATCTGCGCACCGATATCCAGCGTTAAAACCAAGTGCTTTAGGTGCCGAATCTCGAACTTACATCGCCTGCGTCTACCGCGATCCTTCTCGAAGTCACCCCGATCCAAAGAGCTTGCGCGCCGCTCTATTCTCGGTCTCCCGGCACCTGATCTGTGTCTTTGGCGGCGATCAGACAGGGCGTTTTTTTCTTGGTGATCGGACTCAGCGTCGTCCTCGCGCCTGCTGTCTTTCTTGTACTGGCTGTGGCGTCTGTTCGATTTCTCATACTTAGATCCGCGTTTGTCCTTGTCTAGGTGAGGAGTCTGCTCATCGTCACTTTCGAATCTGCGCCGGGGGCTCTCTGGGCTCCGAAGGACATCGAGTCCAGTCTTGGCCTTGTTCTTTGCGTTTTGCCACACCTGAATACTGTTGTGTAAATGGGAGAGATGTAACGAGGGTTATCAGTAAATTGTCTACCTCACGATGATTAAGGATTGGGTCCACCGCCTCCAATCCAAGCTCTGCTACATCTTCTGCCATCGTCAAAAAGCGTATGTGAAAGAGTTATGGAAAGAGTAAGTTAAGGCTGGGAGCAGATACCGGGGGTTAACTAAAGTAGTTAGCCAGACTTACTGTGCACTCCATTATTGCCCATTCAAGTTGCAAAAGTATTGTAATTCCTTGGCGTATGCTAAGGAGCTGCTGTGTAGAACAACGTAGCTACTAGTATGTAGAATGACGTAGAAGCTACGTAGAATGACGTAGGATCCATCAGAGTCCCACCAGGGGTGCAGGAATTCATTGCACCACAATTTGCGCCGAAATATAGCCGAAGTAGGTAATATACTTATATACGTACAAACTGTCGCCATTTCATCACAACAACGACTTTACAAACTTCCCATCCAAATCTGCTAGAGTTCTGTTCAAGGAGAACTCATCCTGCTGAATTGATTGATTGAACTTGTGTAGAAAACGTGCTGTTAATCTGTTGACTTGCTTCGGCTAAGTTTCGGCGCAAATTGTGTGGTGCAATGAATTTCTGACCCCCTGGTCGTCCCTGGTGGTCCCTCCTGGCCTTCATACAGGGCACGCGCTGGGCACGCTCTTGGCATGATTGGCGCGCATGACAAATTCAACAGATCGCTACTAAATAATATAAATCTCTTATTATTCTACTTAATATCCCCAAACTCGGTATGAACAGCTCAAGCAGCAGCAGCTCCGCAGCATGCGCTAAGGAGTTGTAACACTTTTGCAATAGGCAATAAGCATTAGGTCCATCACGGCCCCATCTTTCGCATTTCTAGGAGAATCAAATTCTGCTATACGAAGTCAAAAACTCTGATAGCTCTTTCTGGCCCAGAACTTTTGATGCATTGTGAGGCGGCGTGGCTTTGTCTTATGTGGAGATTCCCATGTATGTAGGTACCTATAGTAGTAGTAAATTCTATTAACCTAATCCAGACTAAAAAGCCTATGTAGGTCTGCTCGTCAACCTTTTCTCGCTACTCGTACAGTCCTCCCTTCTTCATTTCTCTCCTTCCCCCTCCTTCCTCCTCTGTTCTGTCCTCTTCCTCCATTCTGTCCTCTTCCTCCATTCTGTCCTCTTCCTCCATTCTGTCCTCTTCCTCCATTCTGTCCTCTTCCTCCATTCTGTCCTCTTCCTCCATTCTGTCCTCTTCCTCCATTCTGTCCTCTTCCTCCATTCTGTCCTCTTCCTCCATTCTGTCCTCTTCCTCCATTCTGTCCTCTTCCTCCATTCTGTCCTCTTCCTCCATTCTGTCCTCTTCCTCCATTCTGTCCTCTTCCTCCATTCTGTCCTCTTCCTCCATTCTGTCCTCTTCCTCCATTCTGTCCTCTTCCTCCATTCTGTCCTCTTCCTCCATTCTGTCCTCTTCCTCCATTCTGTCCTCTTCCTCCATTCTGTCCTCTTCCTCCATTCTGTCCTCTTCCTCTTCCTGATTTCCGCTTGACCCTTGTAGACGTTGTTCTACGTCTTAGTCAGCGGCCCTTCTGAACTGGTCCAGGATCTTCGTACGCTGGATCATCCTGATGGCTGCCTTTGACCCCTTCTTGGAGGTCAGGATTTCCTTGATGTCGGTCGTACAGAGGGGGTGTATGAGCTCTTCCCTCTCTGTAGACCACTTAGGGCAGTTCAGTAAAACGTGTTCTACTGTCATGCTTTCTTCTCTTGAGCAGTCGCAGTTTAGACTTAAGATGTCAGGAACTTTCATTTCGTATAGGAAGGCGTTGAAGCCTATTTTGCTTGTGTGAAGTTGTATTAGTAGAGCGCTTTCATATTTCTTAAGACCTATATGCGCCTTCATTATGCGTTCTGTTAAGTATAACTACTAATTTCTTGAATAGGCACCCTTTTTGCTAGATTTCTAGCAGTCTTTTTATCTCTTGTTATAATACGAAGTAAGTCCTTTATACAACTTTGAGAGCCTTTTATTAT